TGGCAGGTCTGTGAGAATCCAGTGTCAGACTGAGTCATAACCTTGACCGAGGAGTAGGAACCATCTTACCTTTTGCTGGGCTCCAGGAACCGTTGACTCAAATGGAAGTATCTTTTCCTAATGGTGAGGATTCATAAGTAAGTTATCAATTGCTTCAGTTACCAATATGATGATACATACACTACCAAGTTTAAGGTAACTTAGAATTTGCAGGTGACTGGAGCAAGTCTGTTTATCAAGTTTGCATAATTTAGTCTGGGCTCGGATTGATACAATCTGGGCTCAGATTGTGAAGAATGGAGGGAGGGAGTGTTTCTTGTAGGATCTGCTTATGATCTGACTTATTTGGGAAGCAGTTCCATGGATCAATATCTCTAAATCTTTGTGCCAACTTAAAACACCTGAAGACAAAGGCCAGAATAGAACCCTTTTATAATAAGGGTCTCTCCCCCAAACCGGAAAGAGAACTCCTTAAAATATTGGAAGATCTTACCAGCTTCCTCAAATCCAGTTCCTGTTGATCTAGAGTTACTACCACTTCAGAGGTCTCCGGGGAGAGATGGAGAGTCTTACTCCACGGAAGCAAACAGGAAGCCATGGGCGGAGGTAGAGGGGTCAGGCAGGTTGTCTCCCTCCGTCCAGGACTATGGGGAACAGTCCGGGAGAATCGACAAAACACCACGCTGAGGTTCTGGGCCCGGTCAGATGGCCAGAGGGAGGGCCCAGTTTGAGGCCCGGGGGAGACCTTCACACTCTCCACTCCTCTGGGAAAAGGCCGCTGTGCGAGTCCTGCCTCCGTCATTGTCCCCTGGCGCTTTCCCTGGGGAGCCGCAGGCAGCAGGGTGGGGCTGGTGCAGCTGGTGCAGCAGGGCTCCTGTTCCCTCTGCTCTCTCCTCTCTGAGTCTGCAGCCCGGATTCTCCACGTTAGTCTCAGAGGCCAGGTCTTTCCTCCCTGCTCTTTAAAATGAAAAGTATTTTTTTCAGTGCAAAATAATGTATTACTTTCTATGAACTCCAGGGATAAGGAAATGTAAAGAATAGAAAACCCCTATAATGTCACCCTCCCCTGCCCCAAGATAACCTAAAGTTAGCAGTTTAAGTGCACTTCCAGAACTTTTCTTCTCCCTCCTGCATATATCCATTATGTGTGACTAGTAGAATATAAATGCAAGTAGAGCCCTGGCTGGTGTAGCTCACTGAATTGAGCACGAGCCTGCGAAACACATGATCGCGGTTCGATTCTCAGTCAGGACACATGCCTGGGTTGCAGGCCAGTTCCCAGCAGGGGACTCATGAGAAGGCAACCAGACATTGATGTTTCTCTCCATCTCTCCTTCCCTTCCCCTCTAAAGATAAATAAATAAAATATTTAAAAATAAATAAATAAAATAAATGCAAGTACATATTTTCTATTGTAAAATATCATTTTATGATGTACAGTTTTTAGTATGCTTTTCTATTTAATATAACAGGTGTTCAATAAATAGTTAGTGTACAATGAGCCATAATCTATACAATCTCCTACTATAGAACTTTTGAGTTGTGTCTAAAAACCCTTCCAATAAACATAATTATATATAATACCATAATTGAAATGCATATATATAATACTTATAGATACTTAAATCGTGCCCACCCATAATATGTATGTACATAAATATGCTAACAAACCACTGGATTGTGAAGAAGTGTTTCAGGTGCTTTCCGGTGTATTTCAGAGATACCCCTGAAATGCATGCTGATAAATTCACCTCACCTTTAAGCCAAGAGTTTTAGGACCTTTGGGCGTAGAGGCTGACTCTCCCAGATCTGCTCCCAAGTTTTTATGGTGATTTTTAGCCCTTGGCAGGGCGCCTTGACTAAAACCAGAACCAGAACCCACAAATGATTCCAAAGCTCAACAATGAATTGCAGACAGAATGGAAAAATAATCGTTTTGAAATTCATTTTATAATAAGATGGAAAGAATGACTGGGGAAGGGTGGAAAGAAAGAGGAAAGGAAAGAGAAAGAAAAGGAGAGTGGTTTCTCCTGATGGTTATTTGGACTGTTCTCATCTGATTCTAAGCATTGTAAGCGTTGCAGGTCTTCTCATGGAAAGAGTATTGTGACAGATCGTTCTTCCTGGCTTCTTCCTGGGCCTGACTGAACCTGCAATGGTTTCCTCTTGCCACCAGGCTGGTGGCCGGCCCCTCTGGCTCAGTTCTCGGAAGCCTGGAACGCCCCACGCCTGCAGGAGGAGAGTGTCCGCAGCCCTAGGCACCGTGGTGTTTGCTGACGCCACCACGGGGTGCCCGTGGCCTCCGGGGGCTGGTGGGGAGGTGGGTGCTGCTGCCGCTGGAGGGCGATGGGCCAGGACTGCGGGCGGCAGTGTGGCCCTCCACCAGGCAGCAGTCACACCAGTCCCCAGATGGAGACCCTAACTGTCACAGTGGCAGCACTGGGGACCAGGAACCGAGGCCTGTGGTCCCCACAGTGCTAGGAGAAAAGGAAAAAGGCCTTTGTGACTTTCCCATTTTTACCAAAAAAGAAAAAAAAAAGTGTTTCAAGGATCCTTCAGCTCTGTGAATGCAAATGGGGCCCGGTGGACTGGGGAGACAATTAGGCCAGACACTGAGCCCAGAAAGCCAAAAGCGGGTAGAAATCCAGACAATAGTGCCGCAGGCTGGGGTGCGGTGGAGGGGGAACGGATATGATAGCGAGGAAGGGGTTTCGATGTGAATGAATACTAATTAGTGACATGGATATTAATGATGACAGTAATTAACAGGGGAAAGGAAGGGCTGTCATTGTCCCAGGGTGAGTAATCAGTCTTGGCAGGTGATAAATAATGGTTCAGCCAGCTCAGCAGAAAGATAATCCGCCTGCCCCGGGGAGAGCTGTTGCTGATGCTGGAAACCTCTCCGTTTCTAGGCAACCCACAAAAGAGAACTATTTTTCTTTTGAGGAAAAAACAGGTTAGAGTCTCTCCCCCACCCCCAACTTGGGATTACAGTTCTTATTTGATTTCTGCTTTGTTCTTCATTTCCGAGGACAAATGTCGAACTTGTATAATTTGGCGGAAACGGACCCACACGCGCAAGCACACAGACACACTCTCCCTCGCTCTCAAAGAATGTGAATGAGGAGGAGAGTTTTGGATGCAAAGTTTAGCTCATAGACGTCAGCCCGGAGCCAGAGCCAGGAAAAGCTTAGAAGTCCTGCTTTTGAGGTTGGGAACTGAGGGGCTTGCAGGCCCATGTCAGGAGGCTGGTGCTGGGGGGTTGGGGGGTGCACAGAAAGAGCAGGATGGGACCCTGGCAGTTTCCTGTGCAGGGTTCATTGAACCTTGACATTCCAGAGAGCCAGAGAGAAGCACAAAGGCTAGGCACTCGGGCCTGACCTGGTCTCCCCACTGGCAACCAGTCAAATTTCTGGAAACCTTATTTCTGAGTGCAGTAGCCAGACCCCTCTGCCGGTTCTCCAGCCTTTGCGCTGGGCATCTATCCCAGGGGAGCTACTGGCAGGCCCTCTCCCTCCCATCAAGCTTCAGACCCACGCCAAGACCCGGATGTCTAGAAACGTTGCCCTTTCAAGCTGTTTTTTTAATCCCACATCCCGTCGTGAAAAGACAAGGCCACCTTCAAAGGTCTGCACTCATTTACAGTGAGGTGTGGGGGTGACAAAGGTGGACTGATCCGAAGTGCAGAATTCACCAGAAAATTGGACTCCTCTATCCCCTGTGAACTGTGCTGCCCTTCAAAACACTGGTTCTAGGTGCCACATTGCCCAAGGGAGGTAAACAAAAGGGAATTGGGACCGAAATGGGGAGGGACTGCAGGGCCTGGCGTGCAAGGAAGCAGCCAGGGACCCAGGCATGCTTCCCCTGGAGGGGGCACTCGAGGAGACTTTGACAGTGTGTTAGGTGAACTACCCAAATATTTGAAGAGCTGTCTCGCAGAATGAGGTCTGGGTTTGTTTCTAGTATCAGAACACAAAATCGAGGCCAAAGAGAGTAAGTCACAGAGGAAGTTGTGTTTCTGCTCATAGAAGTCAGAGATGATTTAACTGGGACAGGCTGGCTAGGAGGGGTTTTGTGAGTTCCGAGGTTCTAGGGTTTTCTAAATGCAGATCACAGTACCACTTGTCCAGGGCGTTGCAGATGGCACTCATGTATTGACTGGGGCAGGAGTAGATCAGCTTTAAAAGTTCCTTCTGACTCTTAAGATTTTATATTAGTTAAGACAATACTAGATGCCAAAATAGGTAAGCCCCACATTTGGGGGGGTTAACACGACAAACTTTCAATCGGGTCAGACCCAAAATGGACATCAATTTTCATGGTTCTTCAGAATCCCAGGCTCCTTCCACATTGTGGCTCTGCCCGCCCAGGGCCCTTGATGATTTCTCTATTCAGCCAACAGATGGGAAAAAAGGGTATGGGGCTGTGGAAGGTCATGTGGGAGTTTGTGTGGTCCGGGTCTAGAGGGGGCATAGGTCACTGCCACTGTCAGAACTCGGCCCACTGCAGGAGAGTCTGGAAGTGTAATCGAGCCGTGGGCCCAGGTGATAGGCAAATATATTGAAGTGTTCCCACAGGATGGGCCCATGATGGAAGAAATTAGAGATTCTTTGAGGAACCTGGTCAGCCCTTCTCAGTAAAGGGTAGGGAGCTGAAGATACCTCTTCCCACAGGAAATGGCCTGAGGGCCAGCGTGATCAAACTTCACCAGTTTGCCTTGGGGAAGTCATCCAAGTCTCTGCTCGCAGGAAGTCCCCTTCCATGTGCTCCCTGGAAAAATGGACACAAGATTGTTCTAGTGATCAGAGTGAAGGTTTTTTGGAAAAGATGGGATTATGACTGTGGAGGTGAAGTGATGGGTGGAAAGAGTTTGCTGGATAGACAAGCAGCTCTCCAGGTGTGTGCTCATGCAAATTAGGAGTCTCTTAGGTGAACACATTTCTTCTGCCACGGGGCTTAGCACCCTCGAGATCTTCAGTCGAATCGCTTTATCGTTGCAGGTACTGACATTGTGCAGTGGCTCATGAAGAACCTTTTCATCGAAGACCCAGGTACTTAACCTTCGATCCCGACTTTGTTTACTGATACCATATCAGTAAACATCCCATAACCAAGTTCCAGACTAGATTTTCCTACCCTCCTGAGAACTGGGCTTCTAAATGCAAATTCTAAAATGTAGGGTCACTCTTCTTACAAATGAAATTGATTTATTTTTCTCTACTGAATATCTATCTTTAAATTTAAACCACCCTTTGAGAAAACGAGCAGCCACTGAGCCCAATACAATAACATGTGAAATGAGATGAATTCTCATTAGCCACAGCAATTAAAGATAAGTTGTAGTGCTGTTATGGAACAGCTTTTGAGAGCCGTTCTTAAAATTGGATTGCCTGATCCACAATTAAGATGTTTAATTATTTGCCAAGATGCCTTCTGTTTTCTGCTTCTGCAAGTAGTGAAGGAATGATTTTTTTTCAACTTTAATTGTGCATTTCAGTTAGGAAAACCTTACCAGAAAAACAACAAAACTCTGGCCAAATAGTTTCCAAATCTGTCCTCCCACTAGTAAATAAGCATTAAATTTTATTTCATAGCCTAATTAGAAAATAGGGAGTTCCTGAAAAATGAAAATTCTAGATGAGTATAGCTTATTACCCATGTGTTGTTAGTTAATATTTTTCTGAATGTATTCACTCCCTGTCTTAACCGAGTATTCCCGATGCCCATCACTCGTGTTTATAAATACCCGCACATCTGTATTCTGATGGTCTTACAGATTAGACCTATTGGCCCCAAGTTAAATGGCCTCCAATTGCTATGCTTTTTAAAGATTTTTTCAAGTGCCCCTTCTAGGTGCCTCCTGTTCTCCAGCTGCGCTGCCTTGCTGGGGTCAGGATGTCAGCTCCGGCATTCCTGCATTTTAATCTGATGCTCCTAATATACTATCGACTACAAAACAGTACAATTTACATAGAGTTTGATTAAATGCAGTTGCCAGAAATCTGAGTGCCAGAAAAAGCAGGTCATTAATGGAAGTGACAGTAGCCTTTTTCACCACCTTGATTAATGACCATTCTCATGACTAGTGAAAACTCTTAATTCTAGTCAAGTTCTTCATCCCCAGGGGAAAACCCTACATGCTAATCCTTTTAAGGAAAGAAACTGAATCGACTCGTGTACGTGTTTTTCTTTTGCAGCCTGGACTTCTTCTGACTGTCCACTAATAAAACCTAGACTAAATAGGTCTCTACTAACACTAGACTAAAATACAGTTTAGTTCCATGTATTTAAAGTCAACATTTCTTTTGATTATAATGCTAACCTGAGGACCACCTTTCTTCATAGGGGTCTCTTCTCCTCCAAGAGACTGTTTTCTCACCCTTCTAAAATAATCATTCTATTACTGACATATTTTATTATTGTTGTTAGTCGTAGTAGTACTGACAGCAGAAATAGCAGTTAGTCGCGGTTAGTAGTAGTATTCTGAGAACCCTGAACCAGCTGGTGGTAGGAGAATAGGTTCAGGAATCCTCTCTGGCCCTGGTGTGAGAAGCTTCTGTGAAAGGTCCAGAATGACCAGGGTCATGGCTGGAAGGTCCAATGTACTCTGATGCCCTTGAGAGGACATCCAAGTGTTGACAACTATTGGGGCTTTTAGATGTGGTTCAGCAGGAGAAGTTAAGAAGATTAAGAACAACTAGCCCCGGCTGGTGTGGCTCAGTGGATTGAGTGCTGGCCTGCAAACCAAAGGCTTGCCGCTTCAATTCCCAATCAGAGTACATGCCTAGGTTTCGGGCCAGGTCCCCAGCAGGGGGCTTTCAGTAGGCAACCACACAGTGCTGTTTCTCTCCCTCTCTTTTTCCCTCCCCGCTCTAAAATAAATGAATAAAATCATTTCTAAAAAATAGAACAGTTCACCAGCTGGGAACAGAAGTGTGGCAATGAAACAAACAGAGGCCCTGGAAGTCGAGCCCGTCTCACGCCCACCACTCTCTCTCTCTTTCTTCTTCCTCTCTGCCACATTTCTAAGCAAAAGCCCTTTTTCCTCAAGAATGAAGTGAGTTCTAGCTCCCAGCCTGGTGACAGGAAAGTCACATTCTTACTGGAGTTTGTTCCTCCTTTTCTGGGAAAGGAGCAGCTGCAGGTGATGAAACACCCCTTTTCGTGCTGGACTCATGGTTCTTACAGCAAACCGGTCATCACTAAGCGAGTAAACTAAAACTCCGTTCTTTCGATTCCACCAGTTACAAGCGTATGTTCCTTCTGAAACAGGCCAGGTGCTTCTTAAAAAACAGAACACCTGGATTATATGCAACCTCTTGAAAAGTCCACGAGTAAAACCAAAACAAGTCACTTAAAAAAATTAGAGCTTATGAAATTAATCATTCCTAGAGACTCTTCTTGGTGTCCATAATTTCCACCTCCAAAAATCAGTTTTTACCAGTAAGAGTACTTTCATGTTTGTGAAGAATGCTTTTATATTATGCATGGTAGAATCATTTCAATTTATTGTTTTTCTTAGCTCTCCTCAGAATACATATAAATATAAGTTCCTAGTGATTTATGTGAATGTATTTATGGTTGGTGCTAAATTAACAAAACATGTTTATTGTTGCAAAAATATAAATATTTTTATCCGATTGGCCTCTCTGTGCCATTGCCCATGACACAGCTCTCCACAAAATTGAGGTTTTCCTTTATGTTCAGAAGAGAAGGGACTGTCACATCGGGGAACTCCATGTGAGTTCAAAGTCTCTACAGGCAGGGAGGTCACATGCTCATTTCTGAGGGTAATAAGAAATGATGGCAACAAAAATACGAATCGGAGCTGCCAGCATTTCATGAGTACTACTGACCCTGCACCAGACACTGATCAGCACTTTATATGAAATATCTCAGTGAAGTACCAGTTTATCTGCACCAAGTCTCGTGATCTTAACCGTGAGCACCTTCCTCTGGAAGTCTTGGTGGTGGGGGAGGTTAAAGCAATATCGGACTCACAGCGGGGATCCAGAGAAGTCCCAGACACACGGCAGCACTTCCCAACCACGGACATCTTCCCCCAGCCCAGTGCAGACATATTGTGAAATTGCCCATCAGTCCGTCAGTCATGCAGTTATCTAGGGGTGTGACATTGACTTCCGGTTGCCTTTCTGCTCTCACAGCCGACATTTCAGCTAAGTAGCCCCGCACTCTGACAACTTCCTCATTACTTCTCTCCCTTACACCCTGTCCCCACAGGGGAAGCAATACACTTGGGAAGCCTCATAGCTGCCCAGGGCTACGTCTTCCCCATCTCGGACCACGTCCTCACCTTGAAGGATGACGGCACCTTTTATCGTTTCCAGGTAGGCCCGCCAGTTCCTCTTCCCAAAGAACCTTTTCTTCTCATCATCCTCTGATCTCAGTTTAGAACCACATACAAATACTGTGGGTGTTTAAGGGAGCAACCCTTACCTCCCACCAGCTCTGGGAAAACCAAGAAAACTTGTCTGGGCTATTTATTACTTCACCCAAGCAATACAAAAAAAGCCCTCATGGAGAACCTACTATTTATTGGACAATTTGTGTATATTTCCTCATTCATTCTGAAGAACAAGCATCTAGAGGACAAATATCACAAATGGGAAAACTGAGATATTCAGAGAATTAATGGGGCACTTACTGAATCTGAGAGACAGCCCTGATCTGAGCCTAAGTCAGCCTGATAGCAAAGTCCTCGATCTTTCTACTGTACCGTGCTGACTTCCTGATGTGACATTTCTATTTGCTACCTACTAACCCTTCACACCCATTTTCCACTGTTTTTCTCAGATCCTGTCCTAGATCTGGGGCAGAGGATAAGGGGTTGTATTAAGGTCAAAACCAAAGGGTTTGGAAGCAGAGTTCTTCGGACAGGGCCAAAGGGTATCTTAGTCTGCTCAGGTTACCTTAACAAAATACCACAGACTGGGAGGCTTACCCAACAAGCATTCATTCCTCACAGTCCGGGGGGTTGGGAGTCCAAGATCAAGGTGTCAGTCGTGTCTGGTTTATGGTGAGCACGCTCATCCTGGCTTTCAGACAGCTGCTGCTTGTTGTGTTTGAGAGAGATGCTGTTTCCTCTTATAAGGACACTAACCCTATGGGATAGGGTCCCACCCTAATGGCCTCATTTAACCTTAATTACTCCCTTACTCCAAATACAGCCACACTGGGGGTTAGGGCTTCATTATATGACCTTGTGGGGACAAAATTCAGGAACTTGGGTCTTGTACCCAATAAACCATGCCAGTCTGACCTCTGTAGTTAGACTTCTCTAGTCTCAGGATAAGAAATTTGTGCCCTATAAAGTAAGTTTCCCACTTTCTCATTTATTTTGTTCACCTGGTTTCATTTCTCAACACCTAGATGAAAATGTCGACTGGCCTCAGCTGCGTTAAGAACAGGAGAGGGTTGGGCTATGCTGTCAGCATGAAGAAGATGGAGACAGAGCCTGTCCTGGGTGCAGGGGAGGGCTGACCCTGACCCCTAGGCAGGGGCGAGCAAGCGCTGGCATGCTTCTGAGTCCTGACACCTCTTCTCTTTTGCAGGCTCCGTACTTCTGGCCTTCGAACTGCTGGGAGCCTGAAAACACTGACTATGGTGAGCAGGGCAGCCACAGCCCACACTCAGGGTCACCCTGGGGACACAGAGGACAAATGCCTGGTGTCTCGTGACTGCAGTGTACGAGGAGGAGGCCCTCTACCCTGCTTAGCCCTTTGTCATCCACTTGACACTTAATAAACATCCTGTTCCACATAATGAAAAAAAGGCAGAGGACCCCGAAAGATGCAGCCATCAGAAGGAAACGAGGAAGGAAGAGGTCTATCAGGGGTGGCCAGTGTGTCCATTCTGTGGGACCGTGGAACACTAGGATCCCCGGCAACACAGAGCAGTGGCTGTTAACTGTTCCCTCCTGGGAGGACTAGATCAAGAGGCCACCTCCCTCTGACCCTTTCTATTCTCACAGACTTGCTAAGGCTTATTGATAACTCATTGGTGTTTTTGATCATTGTAATTTATGGGAAATGGAAACTGACCAGAGAGGGGTGTGCAGCATTTACCCTGGCCTAGAACGACAAACGGGGTGAAGATGGGAGCTGGGCAAGCGGGGAGTTACCTGTGTGAAGGGAGGGATCATTAGACTCTTGCCATATACTCTCCGTGGAGACTTTATTTCTACGTGCCAATCCTCTAAAGGAGTGATATGGACCCTCTACTTCAGATAAAGAACCTGAGGCCCAGAAAGGCCACCTCCTCACCCTCGTCACACTGTGTCCTGCCTGTCTGGAAGCCCCATGGTGGTGGCACTGTTCTACCTAGATCACTTTCTTATCCCCCAGTGCATGCCAGAGGCAAAGCTGGTGCTGAGTATTTGCTGATGGTTCTGGTTCCTGATTAAAGGTTCTTAGCAGACACTCAGCAGAGGCAGCAGAATTTGACCTCAGACTGAGTGGCTCCAAGGCCCATGTTCTTATCCTGGTCCCACACACGACATCATCGCAATAGCACCCACCCCTTTGCGCAGCATACTCATTGCTGACTTAGCTACTGGGTGGCCCACAGTGGCTCTCCTTGGCCCTGGGACCCCTGATGAGAGACCTGCAGCCCCTCCCAGGCTCTTTGCAGGATCCTTTGCACAAGGCAGTTAGATGCAGTGGGTGGTGTAGGGGTTGGGGCAGTGCAGGAGAACCATGCAATAAACTACACCCACAGGATTACCCACGTGAGGGCGGGGTAACTAGCAGTTGGAAGCAATCCTCAGGACGGAAGGTGGATAAGTCATTGCCTAATCAGGATGCGGATGTTCTGTCTCCAAGTCTGGAAAAGGGCCCTCACCCAGAGGACAGACCCCTCTGCTGTCTCATCAGCTGTCTGCAGGCAGCATTGTGGGGCCCTCTGGATCTGTGCTGTGCCCTAAATAATGTGAGAAGTGGATCCAACAAGGCTCCTGGCTCAGAGTGGGAGCTGCATTTGCCTGCTCATAAAACAAAGTGTTTCTGAGGCTGAAATTTTGCTAACAAAAGCTCAACTTCAAATTTGAATAATTGTAGCTCAGTTTCATGCAGCAGCCATGTGCCCTTGTGAATGTGGAAGCCAACACTTTTCCAGGCAACAGGGAAAGTGGGAGGATGGTAGACCAGATAACTGGGCCCAAGTAAGATTAAAATATTGAGTATAAGGCATAGGCCATCTGCCACTGCATACAACAGGCATTATTTCCCTTTCTCTACAGGTTTTCTCCATTTTATAGTTTTAGGTGTGCAGCATACATAGGAAGAGAAATAACAACTTATGTCAGGCTCTCATTAAAGCAAAATTATTTTTTTACCCCTATGTCTCAATTCTGGCAAATCAGATGAAGTTAAGGTACAGGATTCAAAATCACTCACAGCATTTCCAAAGCAGTTTAGTCAGAAGATAAGTATTTACCAAGAATTCAGCACAGTGGGCCCTAAATTGACTAGCTCCACTAGCTGTGTGATCTTAGCAGGTTACTTAACCTCTCTGTGCCACAGTTGCCTCATTTTAAAAGCAGAATGGTAATAGTAGTTGTCTCCTAGTGTTGTTTTGTTAGGATTAAGTGAAATGCAGGTGAGGTCTGGTATGCAGCACGTAGTAGGAAGTCTATAAAACCACAGTGGTGGTTGGTGTTGTTACTCCTAGGCTGATGTGCCATCTTACTGGTTCTGCAGTGGCCCTTTTGCCAGGAAAAATCTGAAACTGAGGCTAAGAATTCAAAACAGGTATGGTTTGGAGTGGCAAAAAACCAGAAATTTTCATTCATTCAACAAACATTTCCTGATCACCTACTCCATGTCTAGGGCTCTGTCACAGATTTAGGTGAGTCACAGTCATACCCTCCAAGCATTCCAGGAAGGTGGCACGGTGGGGGTGAGAAGGGCACAGTGAGGAGTCTGATCTGCAGTTCAAAGGTTTTAAGTTGATGGAGAAAGATGGAGAAGGTTGAATTGTTTGAGAGCAACAGATTTATTTTAAAAGCCTTCATGGGCAAGGAGAGACATTTAGAATGGATCCTGCAGTTTCAGGGGGCCATTGTGGATCCCCAGTAGTGGAAAGTGACCTGAAAAGGTTTCTTCATCTGTGAAATGAGGATAATAACTGAACCCACTCCATGGGATTATTATGAGAATTAAGTAAGCAGACCTCTGAATGTCAGGAAGTGCCCAGCATTCGGGGAGCTTCATATACGTGGTAGCTGCTATTAGGGTGATTTCCCCCACACCTAAAACAGGGCTTGGCACATAAGAGATATTCAATAAAAATTTTAATGGGTAAATAAACAAGTAAATGGGACAATGAATGTCATAGTAGAAAAAGCTCTGAACTAGACCTTAATTCTATTTCCACCTCCTCCACTAACTAACCCGTGAATAAATCAATTCACCTCTCTTGGCCCTTAGTTTTCCCAGCTGTCGATGAGGGGTCTGCACTTTATGGTTGCCAAGGTTACTTGCAATGCTAAATTTCCACTGTTCTAGAAAGTAATCCCTGGGTATGGGGAAAATAGAGAAATACATACTTTCTATGTTCCCTAGCTTAAGAGATTGAGGAATAATGATGTCGTCATTAGTAAAGACTGTTTGGAAAAGGAGTCAGTTTTTTAAAGCACATCGAAGTAGGATGAGGTCAGTTTTTTTAAATGTTTAAAAAAAAAAAGTTTTTTTAAATGTTTAATTATACGCATAGCACATGAATCCATTCTGTCTATAAATTGTTTGTGTTCTACTTCTTGACAATTTACATTTTAATTTTTAATTACAGTTTACTTTCAATATTATTTTGTATTGGTTTCAGGTCTGCAGCATAGTGGTTAGACAGTCATATACTTTACAAAGTATCCCCTCCCTTATATTTTTAGTACCTAACTGGCACTATACATAGTTGTCACAATATCATTGACTATATTCCATATGCTGTACTTTGCATCCCTGTGACTGTTTTATAACTAGCAATTTGTGCTTCTTAATCCTCTCACCTCTTTCACCCAAGCCCCAAGTGCCCTTCCCTCTGGCAGCCACCAGTTCACCCTCAGTAACATGTTCTATTTTTGTCATGGGGATACACCATGAGCTTGTGATGGGGTCAGGCAGCAGTGCCCGATGTGCGGGCAAGAAGACAAAGATTTTTTTAATGAGTAATTAAATATCCAAGAAAGACCAACATCTGAGCTTAAAGCCAGTCTCCCAGATGCCCTGTTACAGGATTGGCTGCTGTTGCCAGCAGTCATTTGATTGCTTGGATGTTAGAGCAAGCACTGTTGAAGGCACCATGGTAGTACAGACAAGCCCAGGACCTGGGCCAAGAAGAGGTCCATTCAACAGCTACATCCTACCCCCCATAGCTTTGGTGAACAGATTCCCTAATATGCAACATCAGCCACAGGGAACGTGAGCTGAAGGCATGCAACCGTGTAAATCATGGTCATCAGGAACAGTACCAGCTTTCCATTCCTTGCATAGTACTTGATACTTCATAACCTAGCTGGCCCATTTTGACCCAGAAAGGTTGCAGATTTCTCAGGATGATTCTGCCTAAATAAAGTCCTAATCCAACTTAGACTTTCTTGAGTCTCACATTTGACCAATCCAAAATGTGTCTGAGGCGGCATTGTTAAAGCAGCCACCACCTCCACTGACCTGCACTGCTCCTGGGTGGTCCAGACCAGGCCTGCCGGAGCCGGTGACCTGCCAAGCTTCCTGCTTTGGGTTGCCCCCAGTTCCAATGACCGCCTAACTGGTGGTCCAAGGGGTGCCTTCATCCCACACAGTGGAGAGCTGTAGCTGCTTGGTTCATTGAATAAGTTGGTAAATAGAGAATCATGAAAAATGATACAGACACACCTTAATGACTTGAGATTAATGTAAGATATACAAAGGAATATTCATTTGGCAGCCTTTCAAAGTAGAACCAAAGAGTCACTTGGATTATGGGTCCCAATAATTTGGTTTTTTGTTAAGTAAACCACACTCAAAATAAATCATCCAGTTTGGGCATCTTTAAAACACATCAAGGATTTAAAAACACTTTTGAAACAACCTGTATGTTTACCTCTCTGAAAATTCTTATAATTTTTCTCATTTTTTTTCAGTTATCTCACCTGCCCCAAATTCATCAGCTGTTGTCTTAGCCAACTCCTCTTTATCAAGTTTGTTCTGAACCGTTCAATTTCACAGGAACAACTCTCTCTTGTCACATTCACTGCATCAGCATATGTAATATTCAGGGCACTGACATTAGTCAAATACAGGCATGCCGAACATAAGCAGATTTGAGAACAAACACGACTGACTCTCATCCACCTACAACGCGACTGGTGTGAGCAGAGCTGTGGGCAGACGGAGTAGGCTGCTAACCACAAGGTTCCGGCATATCCTGGGCTGCTGTCAGTAGATTTTTCAGACCACGTGGAGGAGGTTGTTTAATTCAGCCAGGAGTTGACTCAGTATCCTAGTGTACTTCAGTTGTCAAACAACAAATAGGTCCTCTCCGGCCTTCCCCTCTGATTATTCTATTGTTCATTCATACCACTTACCTGTTGCCTTTTTGGATTGGCCTGTGTGGCACTGGAGACAAAGGGAGATACAAAAGGAGCAGAGGTAGGAAGTTATAAAGGTCATGTTTGAGGAAGAATGTCAACTGGCAACCGAGGGCCAAGAACCCTTCCTCCACTTGGGAAGAGAGACCTGAATTGCCCTCTGTTCACTGACGCCACTGGCAGACCAGGCCCCGGGCTAGGTAGGACACAGCCTCTGCCCTTGAAGAGCCTTCAGCATAAAGCAGGGCACTGTCTGGTAATCCCACTGTTACAGGGCACTGGGATTAGGTTCTATGGATGAGGACGGATGGGTGTGACACCGAGCATCTGGAACACCAAGCTGGGTTTTCAAAGATTAGTAGGAGGTGGCCAGATAGACAGAGGGAAAGGAGAGGGGAGAAGGAAAGGGCTTTTACGGAGCAGACCCATTTACAGGGGACTGAAACTGAAAGATGTTTGGTAGTCTCACATGCCTAGTGAGAAAGGAGGAGACAAGCACACTGGATCTTAAAGAACCAAATCTGCTACTCACAGGAGCCCAGCCTTTCTTTCGAGCTCACTGAGGAGTCAATACAGGCCTTTTAGGCAGGAGGGTAACATGGTTATATTTGAGATAGAACACCCTGATGGAGCATGTTTGGGGTGAAGGAGAGTGAGAAGGATGGAGGAGGGTTGTCTGAATTAGAAGATAGGGCCCTTGCCTGATCCTGACCTGCAGAAAGATTCCTAGAGATGGGGTGTCATAGATTCTACGCAGAAACATGTTCTTCAGAGCATAGTGCTGGGAACTTAGCCAGCTGGGCTGGCTGGATGGCTGGATGGCTAAATAGGTAGATGGATGAGGGGATGGATGAGTGCATAGAAGGATGGATTTGTGATTCCACCACACTGTTTTTCCATGTGTTGTAATTTCTCTTTTTCCCTCAGCCATCTATCTCTGTAAGAGGACAATGCAGAATAAAGCAAGGCTGGAATTAGCTGACTATGAAGCAGTAAGTATGATTCTTTTCCTGAGTGGGTATGGGAGGAGAGTACAACATATCTGCAACTGGTTTTAGCTCATATTTTTCCCTTTTCCACACCCCAATTCTTTCCAGATAGTGGAAAGGAAATCTCTTCTATTTCCCCTCCTTTGTTCTCAGCCCCTCTTACATCGCAATAAAATTGCACCTTTATGTTAAGCACTCTCAAAACTCAGCAAACAGAAAACAACTACACTTATAAATGGGCCAAGAACTTGAACAGCCACTTCACCAAAGATGACAGAAAGATGAGTAATAAGCTCATGGAAAATGTTCATCATTCACTAAGATTAAATCCATGCTAGGTACTACCTCACATATTAGGGTGGCTAAAATAAAAAGTACTGATAATGCCAAGTGCTGGTGAGAATGTGGAACAACTGGCACTCTCCCACACTGCCGGTGGAAATGCAAAATGGTACAGCCGTGCTGGAAAATGGTTGGGCAGTTTCCTATAAAGTTAAACATACGGTTTTCATATAATCAAGCAATCCTACTGAGTCAGAACTTAGGTTCACACCAAAACCTGTGCAGTAATGTTCATAGTAGTCTTATTTGTGATGATCAAAAGCTACAAACAACTCGAATGAACTTTAACAGGTGAACGGTTAACTAACCTCTGATACATCCTTATAGTGGAATACTACTCTGCAGTCAAAAGGAACAACCACGTAATATATGCAACCCCTTGGATGAGTATCAAAGACATGCTGCACAAAGGAAGCCTGTCTCAAAGGTTACAAACTGTGCTATCCCATTTATGTGACATTATTTTAAATACACAACTATCATGAGGGAAACAGGTTAGTGGTGGCTGTGAGATATGAGCGGAGGTAGGGTGTGGCTATAAAGAGAGTGTGAATGAGTTTGGGGAAGTGAAGGAACTATTATGTATTCTGATTGTGATGGTAGTTACATGAATCCAGGCATGTGTTCAAATTCATAAAACTGTACACCAAGAGGGAAAAAGTAAATTTAATATATAATACAGTAAGTTTTAATTTGCTATATGCTAATTTTTTATTTTAATATATGATTGATTTTTAACTGCATCTTTATACCCAAGTCACCTTTGCTTGGCAGTAGAGGCAGAATCTGAAGATCAAGTTCAATCCAGAAGACAGATGACTGTCAAATGAAGTGTGTGCTCTCCCAACTGCCTCCCCCTCCACCCCCTCCCACAACATGTGGTTCCATGCAAGAACCGGAGGCCCACCAGCACACTCATATCCATTAACAGAGCCTGTCTCGAGAGAACTTGATTTTCACAGATAATTTTTTTAATATTTTTAACTTTTGCTGAAAGAATATTTCCCCCAAACTAAACTTTATAGGGGCTACTGATAATGGGGGAAATGGGCTAAATTTTCACAAACTGTCCAAAGGAGGTAATATTTGTTTTTTTCTTCTTCTGCTATATAATGTTGTGCTTTGGTATTTGTGAAAAATATGGCATTAACATGTTTGTTCAGGTTAAAGTTCTTTGTAAAAGTGCTTAGAAACAAAAAAAAGTTTTTTGTTTCCAAAATGCAGTCATTTTATTATTACATATGCTCTTGGTAAAAACAAACATTCAAACAACAAAGAAAGGAGAGAAAAGAAGCTGTAAGCTGTCTCCCCAAAGCTTTTTCCTGTACATACATTTTTTCTTCACAAAAGACCTGAATGATATCATAAACATTATTGTGCAAACTACTTCTTTCCCAATCTTATACTGTAAGTATGTTGAGAATCTTTTCATGGAAGTAATAATGATCTACATTATCATTTTAATGGCTGCCTAGTATTCCATGGTATGACTGTGCCGTAATTTATATAACTGTTCCCCAAGTGCCTGGCATGTAGGCATTACCAGCTTTGCTTCCAGTAAACAATGGAAGAATCAAAAGGATGGGTTTTTTGAGGTACTTGACACCAAGCCTAAATAACTGAATTTCCATGTGTTGATCTTCAGCTGAGGCTCCTTTTATATTAATAATCCACTAATGGGAGTAATCAATTCGTGTTGGCATGAGCTCTATGAAAATACATAGCACAATGTGGGCTCCGGCCTGGCATTCCATCAGCATTAGGCAGATCATTAGGGGACCTGTCAAACACCCCCCCTCACTGTCCTGTTGTGTCCCTAGATAAGTCTACAGACTTAGAGAAAGTTTCTTCCCTCTTCCTCTCAAGGTGGCACTGGATGCCTTTGCTTTCTTTCTGTTTTGGGGTTTTCCTTTCATGAACATCACAAACATGGATCCTCCTTCTTTCCTACTACCGAACCTGGACTTTCAAAGACATTAGTGCCAGGTCCTCTGGGTTCTTTCCTGCCCCCTTCCGAGACCCCTGCTGGGAGCTGAGTCTTGAGAAATCCATTCTTAGTGTTGCTATCGGAGATGTCCAGTAGGTTGCAAAGACCGCCTTGTCCCTTCCCCAAAGCCTGTGTGCATAGCCACAAACCATTTACCTGCTCTTCGGTGGCTTTGACAAGGGCTGCTTGAGTAATGTTCTTGTAAAGTACACAATAAGAGAAGCATCAGATGAACCACAGAGACTTCAAACTTAATGGGTATGGAAATGAATATTAATAGTCATGCTCCATACAGCCAGGTCTAGTGCAAAGTCAAATTGGGTTCATGTCCAGTGGATTTAAAGTGGGGCCCTGCTATTTTGTTGGGAGTAACCAAAATAGATGGCTGCCCTGTAATAAGCATAGGTGTCGATGTGCCAACTTACGATGATTAATGCCTTCTCATTCATTTTCATTTCTCATTAGGAAAACCTAGCAAGACTCCAGAGGGCCTTTGCAAGGAAGTGGGAATTCATCTTTATGCAAGCAGAAGCCCAAGTAAAGTAGGTGAACTGAATGGAGAGCCTTGCAAAGAGAAAAAGTCTCTGGGATTTGGAGGTGGTGCGAGTGTGTGGTTGCCAAAGTTCTCCTTCCACGGCTGGCCAGCTGTGGTCAGTCCCTGTCGCCTCTCATGAGAGCATCTGAGCAGAAGTCAGGGTCACCTTTGTAACCAATGGCACTCTAAAATAACTTCAAAAATGTGTGTTCCAGCAGACAGTAGCATTCCTCCCAAATGTAGAACTCTGGTTATAAGAAGATGTATTTAATTCCCCAAAGGCATGTTCAATTCTTCTCCTGTGCTCAGAGGCTGAAAAACATCAGACCTGTAGATCTGGAGATTTTGTCTTCACAGGAAAACATAGTTAGTTTTAAGGAGGCCAACAAGTAGCCCCTCACCCAGTTTCACTGCACCCCACCCCCGGGGGTTCAGAACCAATCAAAACTAAAGCACAGAAGTCAGACATTCGGAGTCTGAAATGTCAGATTATTACTGATAAAAGCTAGATGTATAGTACATGACTTTGGGTCCATGTCCTTAGACTTCCACCCTGGAATTAAAATTACCCACCAGGGCAGAGTTGACCCCCGTGAGCTTACTGCATGCAGAGAACAGGCGTTCAGAAAGAGCCAGCCTGAGCTTGCTCAGTTTCTTCTCTCAAATCCTCCAGTAAGTTACGCCACTCTTCCTGCCCTGGAGTACAAGAAATGAAAGAAGGAGATAAGTCAGAGTGTTTTCCCCATATGTTTCCTCCCAGAGAGCGTAGTAGAAATTCCGTCCTCTCTAAGGAAACAGGAGAAGTGGGCAGTGAGTGTCTCTAGCCCACACACATGGTTGTCAACCAGATTCTTTCAGTTCCGGGACATGGACTTGCTCAGGTCGGGTTCCCTCTTAGCCTTTCTGCCAGGGGTCTGTGGTTCTGTCAGGAGGGTTAACAAAAGAAATGGGTCAGAGGAGGGGAGGGATAGGGATGCTGAGCTGGGAGAAGGTGAGTACCTTTCCTCTGGGCACGACTTGCATCTGAGCAGGGCCCCCCTTGGGGTCTTTAAAGGACCCCCTTTGCATTCTCTGGGCAGTGTCTCAGCCCATCGCCCAGGGCTAGGTCTCCAGCTATGTGGGTAAGCACTGATCATGGGTATGGCTAAAAATGACCTCAGGCCGTGGGGTCCCATGGCCGGCACAGTGCCATAACCCTCCCCCTCTCTTTGCAATCTCTGTCTTTCTACCACATGGTATTCCGGCACCTGCTGCCCACCCCGGTGCTCCCAGCAGCCTCTAAAGGAGATGGACCCCAGGCACTGGGTGCTTGAGCTGCAGCAGGACCCTGAGGAAGGAGAAAGCAGGAGGGTGGGCGAGTGGGTAAGAAAGAGGCAGGACTGAGTCCATGTACTCAGAAGCCACCAGGAAGCAAAGAAGAGCTAATTTGTACTTTTAGAATCACACAACATGGCATGTTGTAAAGGAGGGGAGATTGCCACTTTGTGCATATATGGTATTTCTTGATTAACTTTTTTATTAACTCTGCGATTACATTATAATCGTGGGCCATTTAAGTGCACAGTAATTATCACAAAAATCACAGGGTGAGTATGGGCTTATTTCAGTCCAGTAAACTAAATTGCTCCCAGGAGAGCCAAGAACCAAAGGTTACACAGCGATTAATCTGAGTTACTTTTTACTTAGAGAGAGGATATGAAGTAATACAGGCTTTTGTATTTTAAAGCCTCTTATCTATGTTCCTGATCAGCACATAGAATCTGTCTTTGTCACGTCACCTGTGATTTCCCTCTTGCAATCTGTGCCTCCCCCAGCTGAGGCCCATGATACTTGCCTTCTGAATCTTGTCACACACTAGGGCTATTACTCTGCTATTAGAAAGCCAGATGGTTTAAGTGACTCTTAAAACACATGATTGCAGCATTTCGAAGACATTTTCTACCAGCTCAGAATCTAAAGCTAACTTTCAAATTGAGGATGAAACACTGTGAGCCTATGGTTAGTCCTTCCTGTAACTTGAGTACACAGACAGTATCCACTTTCGATTGTCAGTGGATGATTCCGTTCTTAATAATTAAATAACAATTCAGATGGACCGGAGCTCCCCGTCCTCTCCTTGGGCCCTCCACGTCCATCTCACACGTATGGGAATCAGCAGTCTGATCTAAAACGAGTTCTCTCGCCCTGTGCAGACTTCCTGAGGTCGCCGTGGGGGACTTATCTACCTGTACTCTGCACAGAGCAGGGACCACGCACGTGCCCACTGTCCTGTGTGCCCTCAGCGCCTGGCAGCACGGGGCACAGAATGCAAAAGATACAATTTCCTTCCCCTTCTCTTACAGGATTGATCGGAAAAAGGACAAGACAGAAAGGAAAATTTTGGATAGTCAAGAACGGGCCTTTTGGGATGTCCACAGGCCAGTGGTGAGAAGGCTCTGCTCCGTTCTCTAGGTTTTCTTATTTCCCCACTTCCTTCTTGTGAAAGAAATGACTATCTTTAGCCACCAGATGTCTCATTCTTAAGAAAATTGCTGAGGTTTGTGAAATGGTTTTGCCATTGTTTCATATAATCTCAGCAGATTTTCTGGAATGTATACCAGTTCTACCTTTTATAAATTATCCATCCATGAAAATACAGAATGGAGATAGAGAATTCTACCTGGGACCTTTGGGCCCCAGAAGTTTACAGTCCCAAAATAAGCAATCTCCAGATTTACCGTTGTTCAACTCTAAATCTTAGAATATTCGATTTCAAATGCAACCAGTTCTTATTATTCACAGTTACATTCCATAAAATGGCTGCAAACACTAAATCAGTGAATGCTGAGCCGCTGCTGAATCCCTGATTTGAACCGTTGCATCAGCTGATCAAGGCATAACCTTATTTAATGGGTATTTCCGCCTAAAGATGCTTTACTGTATATTGTGGACTCATGAACATTGAACTCACAGCCAACAGCGCTATGGCTCAGGGCAGAGTGAAGCATCACTAACACACGTATTTTATCCGCAAGGCACACAGGAGCCCTAGACAGCCCTTCGGCACTGTGCTTGGTGGCCATTGTAAACAACGAAATCACCAACAAAAAAAAAACCACAGAAATGTGCAGAGTGGCACTAAACAGACCTTGGAAAGGACACTTATTTACAGTATCAAGAGTTGAAACAAGGAGGCAGAGTGTCACCTTATTCCACCTCAGCTGGAAACATGCACAATGGACAACTCAAATATGTGTGGCTCTGTCATATTTATGTCACACATAAATGACCGCAGAGGCACCCCAAGTATTGATTTAGGGGTTATGAATATGTTTTAGCAGGTAGGCAAATTCACAAATATGAAATCCAAGAGTAATGATATCTGACTGCATTTCTAATCTCGTATTACTAACACAGATCTTGCATTTCCCTCATGAAATGGAACTAAAATGAATATACTATTTTAGCCATCCTAAAAACTGGTTAAGAGAAAAACTAAAGAACTAACTCCCTATCCTGACATTGGAACGTTTTTAGTTGGTTAGATATGTGAAATAACAAAGGCTGTGACCGCAGTGACCTTGTCACTTAGAATAGTAAGTTTGCTCTTATAAACTGTGCACTATACTTTACATAGCATCCTGACATAGGTGGGCTTTCATATTTCCTATGAGAACTCTACAGAGGAACACATTCACGTCTTTGTAAAAAAAAAAATGTACATGGCAAAATGGAACTAATCTTGCGGCACACGTAATGGGAAGGATCAAGATTGGCCCTGCTGGTGTCACTTGGGCTGAGTGGGAGGGGTGATTTTGACTAAGTAATTTATGTGATGATTTTTTTCTCAGCCAGGCTGCGTGAACACCACAGAAATGGATATCAGAAAATGTCGACGCTTGAAGAACCCACAAAAGGTTAAAAAGGTTCGCTAGTTGAGCTAAAGTAAAAATTTTTTATGCAAATGGCCCTTGATTTCAGCTATGCATTGCATACCCCATGCGGTTTTGTTTCTTTCCCAAAGCAAAGACCGTCTTTAATCTGTTTCTAACACTCACGACAACTTAAAAAGTAGCCATAGCTGTGGGCAGGCATGTGAAGAAACTGAGGCTAGAAAACTGTTTACCTTAAAAGCACAAAATCTGAAACCCTGCCATCTCAAGTTTGTCCAGACAGGCACGTCATGTGCGCAGGCCAATGGAGCATCCAGGGACCTTCGTGCATAATCGTCCTCCAACTGGCTTGTGTCCTCGATCTGCCTCAGAGTCACCTGGGGCAGTTGAGAAAAGTACAGATTCTTAAACTCCACCCACAAAGATTCTGACTCAGTAGGTCCACGTGGGGCTCAGCAATGTGCATCCTTACCAGGTGCCCCGGGGCTATTCTTTGCAGATGGTCTATGGACCCTATGAGTGTTGGGAAAAACACTCATATACAAGGAGGCCATTTTGGCTCAATAAAAGGACAGTCCTTCCAGCAGTGGTGACCCACAGATAGGGCAGGGCTGCCTCAGAGACAGAGTTCCCATCACTGGAGAAATTCAGGTGGAGGCTGATCATTTACTGTTGGGATGTCAGTGTGGGATTGATTGGGTGAGTGGTGGAGCTAGCTCACCCCCAAACCCCCTTCAGCTCCAGGGTGCATGATTCTGTTTCCTTGCTTCTTCTCCAGTCAGTGTATGGGGTGACGGAAGAGTCCCAGTCCCAGAGCCCCGTGCACATACCCAGTCAGCCAATCAGGAAAACTACAAAAGAGGACATTCGGAAACAGGTAAATCAGTTGACTCCCACCCTCCCAGAAGGAGATGTGGCATGTCTGAAACCCTTTTAGTGTTCATCTCTGAAACGTTAGTGAGCTTTGAGTTCCTGGAAACCACAGTGAAACCCAGCTGTGGGTGACTAGAACCTTTGAGTGCTGTGTGTGAACAACCCGTGGAAGCCTGAGAGCGAAAATGCTCTACCAAGTTCCTTCACCGGTGATGAGAGAAGGATGTAAATGAGTTATCCCAGTGCCACGGGGAGACTGCGATGGTTGGGTCTCCCCAGAAGCTGGAGCAGGGAGGGACTTGTGTTTCAGGGTCCTCAATAAAATTGTAATGTGCTTCCAGAGTAAGCTAGTCCAGGACCACTGACTTATGGCTCTGATATAAAGGGACTGTTTACGAATAAAGTAAGCTCCACTCCAAAGTCGTTTCAGTATTATTTGGTTGAATGTTATGTTTATGATGAAGAGTTAACTGGTCAACCCAAGTCAGAAGACAATAGCCAATGACATTACTCCTTTCTGGGGGTTCACTGATAATGAAGTAACTTCGAGTCTACTCCTTACCTCATGCTCTATTGGCTTCTGTGGCTGGGGCGGGGGGGGATGGAACCCCAAGGAGTTAAGCGCCTGCCCTTGGCAAGTGTATTATTGGGTGGGAATGAGGAAACAGATGTGTGGAAAACAGCTATTTGACGATTCTAGTCAAGTACACTGAGCACATGCGTGTGACGTAGGTGTGAAAGGTGTGCCGAGGAAGATCACTGGGGATTAGTCAAGCCAGGTGTTACAGTGTGTGTGTCACCTGTCCATGCTGCCGCTAAGCTTTGTAGACTAAGTACTGCCTTCAAGTTTCCCATCCCTTTGGGCATCAGGACCTCGGCTGTAGCGCAGTGCAGAGAATGTACGACCCAGGCTGAACTGTGAATCCCGATGGCACTAGAAATCTTCAACAGGGCAGAAGGGTTGCTGAAGTGCAAAAGTGCAAGGTCGAAGTCTGTCCAGAGGGGGTGCTAGGATCTTGGTAGAAATACAGGATTTGGGTTCCCGAGATGAAAGGAAACAAAGAAATTCTAGTTTGGTCTTAACACCTCTGTTATGTCTTTCCCCAGATAACGTTTTTGAATGCACAGATTGACAGACATTGTTTAAAAATGTCAAAAGTGGCTGAAAGGTATGTTTCCCTCGGTAAAATCACTACTGTCTTCTAACTTAACCAGGGAGAAATGTTACAGGGTGTGGTTAATACGTGTGTCCCATGCCGAGAGGCAGACCGGAGGCGTCCCATAAACCGACGGGTGGAAAGGCCACAGGGCCCACGGGCACAGCTTACAACTGAGACAGCAGACCTCCCCAGAGTGACGTCAAGAAATGTTCTGCTGCTGAAGCTTTTCAGGACCTTGTCAATCAAGGTCAAATGTCCTTAAAAGCTACATAATACTCTTTTGCCTTGAGCCCCTTGATTAATTTAAGTGGAATGGCTCCCTTTTCAGCTATAAAATGCCCAGATTCACTTTATAGCAGGAAAGGAATTGTGCGTTAGCCGTGCAGACAGGAGGGGACCGAAGCATCGGGAGGCGTTCGCCTCCACACACCATCAGCCACTGAACTGCATCGAATCAACTGTAAAGAGAATATCTGGCACCTGCAGCCTGGCTCCCGCACAGCATTCGCGCTACGATCTGCGCCAGGAGCTGGTTCCACTCTGTTAACTCGTGGGAGACTCAATTTTGTCAACTAAATGGTCTGTTTTTGAACTCTCAGTGAAGAGGGGAGACCACCTGGGGAATCCGTACAGAATAAATCTGATCAGGCAGCACGCAAACTGAACGTTTTTTCGTCGGTGAGCTACTGTTAAAGCGATGACCAATAAATATCTGAAGGATCAAGGGCTTAAGTCAAAGGCTAGTATTTATTGGCTCTGAGAGGAAAGTGGGTCTTTAAGCCCAGCTCACGCAGGGGGCTGGATGTGTGCTCAACCTATAAGCCTTTGCCTACTGGTCCCTTCCTTCTAGACGAATAACAAACTGAGCCTAAGAAAACCTTCCTCCACAACTCAAAGCCTGAATTAGTGCTCTGCCTCGAGGTGCCCAAGGACGTCCTGGATCAGGGTTCATGTCTTTGATGGCATCTCACATCTAGCCCAGTGTTTCTCAATGGTGTCACTGTAGACATTCTGAGCTGAATACTTCTTTGTGGCGGGAGGCTGTCCTGTGCATTGTAAGGTGTTTAGCAGCATCCCCAACCTCTGCTCACCTCACGATTGTGAGAACCAAACATGTCTGCCCACATTGCCAAATGTCCCCTGGGAGGGCAAAGTCACCCCCATTGAGCATCGCGGATACTCCTCTTTTCCCCGATGCAAATTCTTCAGGAGGTGGCCGTGGCTGGAGCTCAGCGCAGACAGAGACCGGTCATTCTTGAGTCACAGTTTCGGCCAATTGTGCAGGCTGTGGGGCCACCTCACTCCACTGTCATAAAGTGGGGCTTTGGCGCACCCCATTTAAAATTGCTTTTTAAATCTCACAGTGGTTGCCTTTGTCCCTGAGGGGAACTGGTGGGTGACATAGCTGGGATGACCTTAACTTCTTTGGTGTAAGGAATGATGAGCTACTTTCTCTATGAACAAGGGACAAGAATGGCTGTCCCAGGCTGCCATGAGGGGCGGTGCCAGCAATGCCTGCCTTCAGGGGGCACTGGAGAGTTTGCCATCCCAGGAGAGCGTGCGTAAGAGCCTCTTTCCCTGGTGCTCGCTGCTCAGGTCTAGTGGTTTTGAGCATGATGATCCAGGGGAGGGTGGGGGTGAAGCATGGAGATCCCCGACCCTAGCTCTGGAAATCTGAATTCGGTGGTTCCAGGTAGATCTAAGGAACCTGCATTTGGTGTTATGTGCAAGTGGACTGACCAGGTATCTGAGGACCAGATGAAGCCATGGTCCACCACTTAGAGCTCACCTCGAAAGGGACACCCAGCTTTATCTTATCCTTGTGCTCTTGGTGGAAGTGAGGCTCTTGCGGGTCTCAAGGAAAAGAATTTCCTGAGCCCCGCACAGGAGAACGTGGCTCTGTGGTATAGCTTATTGACAATGTACATTCATCAGCATTAAAGGGGCCCCCTCCTGACTTTCCAATGTCCCATCTCCATCTGTCTCACCGTGGAAAAAGTCCAGTCTTGTCTTCAGTAGGACCAGGACGAAGGCCACTGTGCAGAATTTCTGCTGCATATTGAAGTCCAGTGCAGTCCAGCTTCCAGCTAGCTTAGCGTGGGTTTCCAGCCATAGTCCACTGCTGTGCTGCAGTATTCAGGCCCCCCCCCCCGGAGGCCACGAGAGAGCAGGTGCATGCAGCGTGTGAGTGCGGGTCACAAGCAAGAGGGCGAGCTTCTTTGTTCCCCTGGGCTTATAACCAGGAGCTTGGGTTTGTGTTAGACCAGGTGCTTTCTCAAAATGATCGACCAACTTCTCACGTTTCCATGGGCTTTGGATTGGGTCCATTCCCCACTTGGACTGACAGGCCTCCCTGGTCCACCATCTCCCCATGGACTCCCCAAAATAATCCAACAATCGAGAAGGTATTAATTGCCTTGGTGGAGTGAGCTATAATCCCCTGGGGTGTGAGGCTGTTGCTACCTGTCTACAGCTTCCCAGTGGATTAAGCTCAGTGTCTGGCTCCTTTGCTCCCCTTTCCTTGCTAAAGACCTACAATAACAGTTGGGGTGTGAGGAAAGAGCCTGAACCAGTCGGCTCTAGGGAGGTCCACACAGGCAGGTGTACTGATAAGGTGTGCGTCTCCTCACGCAGCCACAGCGAGGGGAGGGAGCCTGGCAGGGTCCATTGTCTGTTTTATTGCCGTCAGGGGGCCCACCTGGCGCCATCCCATTTTGCTTGAGAGGCTACTCACCTTGAAGAGATTATTCCAACAGCTACTTTTCCCTCCCCAGTTTGAAACTTTCGTATGTCTCTGCCTGCAGAGACTGGACTTTATTCCCAGCAGCAATAACTGGCAACTTTTCAATGTGACACAAGGGTTTTTCATTAGAGTCACCAGGAAACTCCCAGATAGAGAGGAGGAGGGAGAGGAGCGGGTGTTAGCAGGAGATAAAGCAGCCTGGAGTCTTGGTCTGTTGCGGGCTGTGCTGGGTGGGGGCAGGGAGGCGGCACTGGCAGCTGGCCTCGGGTGCAGACTGCTCAGCCCCCCAGAGGTGAACACTGAGCTATCTCAGATGGGCACGCACATCTCCATGCAAGACCTGGCTTCCTGGCCTGCTTCAGGTGAGCCATAGTAGTCAGCCAGAAGCATCAGGGAAAAGGCCTCATCCCCCTGAGAACAAGTCCACCCCACTTTTCACTTAGTCCCCTGGGCACTGATGCCTGGACGGGTGGGAGTGTTGATGGTTGTGAAAGTCCTGTCCTAAAAAGGCAGGAGTCAGGGTTGGGTCAAAGGGTGCTGCCAGACCCAGTCAGGAAGGGAATAAGGGAACTCTGCAAACTAAACGGGTAGAGCAGAACAGTTTAGGGCTGGGTGTGGAGCCAGCCCTTGGGTTTGGATCCTCCCTCTGCAAAGGGGAGAGAGCAGCAATACTTAGCTTACAGGGTTAATGAGTTAACCCACCGCATGAGCTTGGTCCAGTCCTTGGCACTAGCCACACATACCGTGAATGTGAGTGATTATTATTATTATTATCCAGTGTGGGGATAAACAGTGCTTTGGAAAGGAACAAGTTCAAGGACATGAGATAGAATGAACTGGGTTCTGAAGAACAGACGAAGGGCAGGCTGAGGAGTGAGGCCGGACCTACAGGTGGCAGCTTTGTGCCCGTGTAACTCTTTCCTCTTTCTTCCCAGTCTCCTAAACAGAGAGCCCCGCCCTGCACACGGCCTAAGGCTGGCCCTGCCGTCCGCATGTCTGTCCCGCTTGGCTGCCAATAATGTGGTGCCTTTGGGGAGGGTGAGGCCGTGCATGAAGAGGCTGGCTCTTCACAGATTTTCTCTGGTCCACTCAGTTTCAACTATTCCTCCCCATTGTCCCCACAAGTGGTTAAATGTTTCCGAAACGCCAACATCCTGGCAACCAAACTACATTTCCTAGGCTGCCTTTTATAGCTGCAAAGAACAGTACAAAAGCCAGTCTGAGGTGTTACCTAATTTTTGTATCAGGAAGTACGGTCCCTGCACACACAAATGAATTCTCCAGATAAATAAAGCTTAACACTTGAAGCTTTTTATCCGTGCTCTTGTAAATGAGAATCTGTCTCCATTGTGGTTCACGTGCTTGCCTTCTTGAAGAAAGGACACACGTTTCAGTTCATTTTTCTGGATGGCTCAGGGTCAGTGTTCTTACACTGCACTTTAAAATTCTGTCAGTGTTCAGGGTCTTAAAAGTGCCACAAACGACTCCCCTTTCCCCATGGCCCCAGGCCATTATATCCTTTGAGTCTCTGTTTCTGCTTTTTAGTGGTTGGATTATATTCTTGTTCCTGTCAACCTACTTGTCTCCAGTAGCCCTTCCTGCTCCCTTAGCAACTCCCATTGCCAATCTGTGGCAGACCATGTGTAGCAGGTAGCTATTGCTGCGTAACAAAACACCTCAAAAATGTAGTGGCTTCAGACAACAGGCAACTCATTGCTGCTCACGTGTCTCTGTGCCAGCTGCCTCTGCTGGGCTCCCCCAGGTGTCCGTGTGCAGCTGTGCATTGGGTAGGCAGCCCGGTGATCTTGGCCGGGCTGTCCCACATGTTTGGCTTCAGCTGCTTTAGAATGACCTCAGCTGGGACAACTGGGCTCACACAGTCCCCTATCCTCCAACAGGCTAGTTTAACTTGTTCACATGGGGACAGCAGGATTCCAAGAGACAGAACAAAAGCATGTCCAGTCTCTTGAAGCTTGGAACTGGCACTCAGTCACTTCTGCTGCACTTTATTGGCTAAAGCAAGTGACAAGTTGAGACCAGATTCGAGGCCTAGGGAAACAGACTTCATTTTTTCGACATTGGTCTACTACACTCGGAAATCAAATAACCGAGTTCCTTAGCCTTAAGCCCAACGCAAGAGTCTTCACTGAGAGATGCACTCTTATGAATAACAGACAATGAGCCTTGAGGCATAGAGCTTATTTCACTGTGGAAAGATGCCCTTGTGCTCACATGTCTGACTGTATTCTCTCAACAATTTAAGTTGCTCAATAAAAGAGGTCTTACTCCTCTTCATGAGGGTCCTCGAGGAACCCCTTCTTTATTCACCCAAGACTTACAGCACTGGACAGACCAACTCTGAGAATGCAAAAATTTACATTTCAGTTCCAAATGTTCTGGAAAGTCTCCGTGTTTGCTGGGTGTCCCCAGAGACTTCTCCCCATCTGCAGTGGCCCTGCAGGAATCACACCAGACTGCCACACACGGAGATATCAAGTTGTGTCCTTGTGTATCTGCTCTGGTGCTCGGCTCATCCTCACCCTTCCCAGGGAGCATCTGTGCCTCACAGCTGATGGCTGAATTGATTTTTTATCATCATCTCGCCTGTCTCAAGATTGCTGCTGCTCCCTGAAATCGGATGCTGTTTCCTCCTCTGCCTCCTGACCCTCTGTGATCATGAAGTGTAATTAATAAAATGAGATAAGACAGCAAGGGACTGTGTACCCTAAGGGTCTATTAAAAACCTGCAAGGGTGATAGAAGTCTGTGAGCTTAATGTCTAATGATAGTTTCAGGGAAGAGGGAAAAAAACAGGAGCCAAGGAGGTCATTACAACTTCACTTTTATGGGATTCCAGAGACTGCAGGGTTCTTGCTCATCTTTTCTCCCCGCCCATCTTAGGTGACAGAATAGAAAATATCCGAGGTAACATTGTAGCCAAGGTGATTGCCTTTCGATGGTGATCTAGGAAGGCTGGTATACCTGGCCTTGCACGTGCTCTTCTTTCCAAGGGGCTGACTTCACCTGCCCATCCCTCACTCATCCTGGGATTCTCTACTGAATATATTGTCTCTGAATGACCTGCAGTTAAGGAGTTCTTTCTTTATAGTCTCTGCCCTCCCTCACCTTCTGCAATGTGAAAAACGAATTAGATTAATGAACTCATGAGAACTAAACTTTCTTCTTTCCTCTCTGCAATGCCGCTCCACTTTTTGTTTCCCTTTCTAATTGGACCCTCTTCCTGTCTGGTTTTTTTTTAATCCTCATCCAAGGACATGCATATTGCTTTTAGAGAGAGGGAAGGAAGGGAAAGAGAGAAGGAGAGAAACATCAATGCAAGAGAGAAACGTCCATTGGTTGCCTCTCTCATATGAGCCCTGACTGGATACCAAATCTGGGACCCACGCACATGTCCTGACCAGGAATCAAACCTCCAACCTTTCAGTTAATTGGATGATACTCCAACCAACTAAACCATGGTGAAATGAGAGTCACATGTATTCATGTAAGAATTGACTATGGCTGCTTTTGTGCAAAAAAAAAAAGCTGAGTAGTTGCAACAGGCACCATCTGGCCCTCAAAGCCTAAAATATTTATTATCTGGGTCTTCCAGAAAGTTCGCCTACCCCTGCTCTAGAGAAAACTGAATGTACCAGAGGAAAGAAGCCAGATCCCTCGTTTTGAGCTCTAGTGGAAAGACTGGCAAGCCACCCAGTGACCCGACAATGAAGCCCATGAGTGGGCTTGTCCTGTCCACACACACACACACACACACACACACACACGTGGAGTCTCCAAACAGATTTCAGTGCCTCACTCTTAAGCACAAATGGATGTCCACAGGTTTTCCAGACGCTCAAGAAAAACCCCAACAAGAAGAAGTAAATCAAAACCAACAAAAGAGGGAACTTGGAGGAACCAAAAACTACTGAAGAAACTGAAAATAAAAATAGAGAATAATATCCTCAGAAGTATGAGAAGTTCCATCCATAAAACAAGAACCAGATACTATGGTAAAGAAGAATGAGCTCTGGAAATTAATGGAAAACTTTGGAAACTCTGGAAGAAAATGATGGCTCAAATTAAAACAATAAAGAGAAAGTTTGGAAGAACTGTCAAAAAGACAAAAAGATGAAAAATGGGGAAAAAAATTAGGAAAATTAGATCGTCAATCAATTCAAGATGTCCAAGATATAACTAAAAACAATTATAGAAAGGAAAAATAAATGTCATGACACTAGCAAAGAAGTAATGTTTATGAGAAATATATCACATATTGTCCTCAGCACAGGGAACCAAAAACAACCAGTTTCAGGGTCGTCGTGAAATATCAGAGCACTATAACAAGAAAGAGAAGATTCTAAGTTTCCAAAGAAAAAAGAAACTGTTTAGAATCAAAATGGATCCAGACTTCTCAATAGTAACACTGAAGAGAGAGAGAGAAGGAAAGAAAAGAAAAAAAAAGTAGATGAATACCTTCAAAATTTGGACAGAAAGTTAGTTTTAACCTTGGGTTCCACAGCCAACACTATAATTCTTAGGCGACTATTAAAGGATATGCTTCAACACAACCAGGGAGGAAAACCAATAGACAGACATGGAACCCAGGAAACAAGGGCTTCAACACGAACAGGGAGGAAGACTCAGGATGAGGATTTTGCGTGAAGCCTGTGGAGCAACAGTCCAGATTGGAGCAGGAGGATTCAACACTTCAGGGGCAGGGAGGTAAAATGGCCTGATTACCTGATGTGTTTAAGCTACAGAAAAATTACTGCTAGACGTTCCACATATTTGTAGGAACACTTGAAATAAGCAATATGTTACTTTGCTCAGCAGTAAACAACTGGTACAGTAATGTGGATACTTACTATTGATTTAACAAAAATTGTTCTATAAGTCTTGGAGGATCATGGAAATAAATGTTAGGAGAGTTGGGAACTAGTGAGCAGAAAGTTAAATGCTCATCTAAAACTGAGGATGAAGAGCAGGTATAAAAACATATAATTTAAAAATATACAGGTAGGTCCTGGCTGGTGTAGCTCAGTGGATTGAGTGCGGGCCTGCAAACCAAAGGATCGCAGTTCAATTTCCAGTCAGGGCACATGCCTGGTTTGCGGGCCAATTCCCGGCAGGGGACGCACAAGAGGCAACCACACATTGTTATTTCTCTCCCTCTCTCCTTCCCTTGCCCTCTAAAGATAAATAACTAAAATCTTTTTTTTTAATATACAGATAAATGCTAAAAGAAACAGAAGGGTAGAAAGTGGATGCCCCTGTGAGAAGGGATAGAAGGAAATAAAAACGTCACTACTGCTTTCTTTGTACATGAAAATTATTTAGTATTATTTTATTGTTCTAACTATATCCATGCATTTTGATAAAGTTTTGCTTACAAAGATTTATGTGGCTATTTACATTATAACAAGAAAAACTAAGTTGTTTTTTGGGAAAAATGCTTATAATATATTAACTCCTGTGGCCTGCCAGGATTTTAACATCTTTCAAGCTGGAAGTGCTGGGCTGGGAGCCTGGAGGAAGCGCAGCGTGCTCTGGGTGTCCCACACGCCTAGAGACCCATACTATGTCTGTCGGAGAGCTGTTCGCGAGCAGGTGTGGACCAGTGCATCCGTAGGGCTCACGTAGCCAGAGAGGGAGGCACCCAGGCTCAGGGCGACAGTCGGTGGGAAAAAGATACAAAGCTCATCCGTGTGCTGTGACTGCAGTCGTGCAAAACGGTGTGTGCACATGACAGGGGATGAGGGCACATGCACACAGTCCCGTTTGTCAGAAGTGGGAGTGGCGGTCATTTTTCCCTTTTCATTTAGAAGGATGATATGACTGATAGAATGTTTGTGCGAGACAGAAAAACGTTTTTGCAGGAAATCAGTGGTGTTCTTTGCTCTGCTTTCCCCACGCAGCTTAATTGCTTACACGGAGCAGTACGTGGAGTACGACCCCTTGATCACGCCAGCCGAGCCGTCCAATCCCTGGACCAGTGACGATACCACTTTATGGGACATGGAGAGGAGGTAAAAATAAAGATAATTTTAATAACAATAATATTTGGGAGTGGGAGAGATGTGGAAAACAACCAGAAGATCGTACGATTACATGACCCCCTACCTTAATTTGACTTCATCAACTTGAACGGAAACCCCTCAAGTACTGCCCTCCCCCCACTAAGTTCTGCTTACTTGTGGTTTCTGCCTCCTGATAGTTTGGCTTCTGTGTGGACCCTTGTGCCTTCCCTCTGCCCTCCCTCTGACCCTTTGGATATCACAACAGGGACAGTCCCTCACATTTCTTAGCTCTGATTGCCAGAGGATAAGAATCTATTGGCTAAATAGTTTTATATATATATATGGCAGTAGCAACGGTAATAGTACATGTCTTACGTGGAATCCCACAATGAGTAAACATTATTATTATTCTTCCCGTTGAACAGATGAGAAAACTGGGGCACAGAGAAGTTTCTGAACTTGCTCAAGGTCACATAGTGAGTAGGTGGCAGAGTTAGTATTGGACCCAGACAGAGGGCACCAGAGCTGTGGTTTCCATCACGGGTCTTTCATCACCTGCAGGGGCATCCAGGAGCCTCTCACCGTGAGGGAAGCCAGTGTGTTTTCTCACTGGCTGAGGGACCAGAGCCCAGAGGGACCAGGACCACATTCCCAGTTACAGAATGAAACACACAGACAAGTAGTCTGCTGCGGCCTGCCTGGGCCCCTCAGCCCTTCTGTCCCTTGTTTCTTTATGTCTCTCTCCCTCACTTTCACACTTGCTCTTTTTCTGGATTCTTTGTTAAAATGGAAAAACTTTATAAAAAGTAGTAAAAGGCATAGGTGCTTGTTCCAACAGTTGAAACTACTCAAACATACACAGTAAAGAAAGTTCTCTCTTCCTCCAACCCAATCTCATTTTCTAGAGAGGACTTTGTGTAGAGTCTGATGCCATGTTCCGCAAAATGCACCAGGGCACCCTGAGCCACTGCAGGGACCTCACAGGGTCACCACAGGACAGTCTCAATCTCTGAGGGAAGCGCAAGGATGTATGGCGTGTGGCAGGTGCTGCATCAGCTCCTAGTTAAGGTCGTCCACCGATTCCAACGTTAGGTCCCCTTCTATTCCCTCCAGTGGTGTCCCGTCTTTGTAAATCTGGGTTTTCAGAGCAGTCGGCCGTGAAGAAAGCAAGTACTGGGCAAACATCAGCGTGGCACCGGAACCCAGGGCGTCAGGGTCCAGCGCCGTTCCAAAGGTTAAGATGTGCCGTGCTCAGCAGCTCACGTGTGCCTGTTTAGGAATGAAGTAAATATCTTCATTGTCCTGTCCACCATACAGGCACTTCAAATAGCTGCTCACTTGTTCGAAAGTAAATATGTATCAAGTTCTGTGGACCTGACTTTTTAATAAGTAAACATGCCCTGCATCGTTCCTTCTAATCCGATCCAAGAACTTAAATCTTTTTTTAACTCAGGATGTTTTCTCCCCATTTTTTAAATCACTGTTATGCCTTTTTTCCATTCTAGATTCTCTTTTCAGAAAGTCCTTTTGTAGGAATTGTGGGGCCTCTGGGATGGAGCAACCGTGTCTCTTATCTTTTCTCGATTACCCTTTTTATTCTACACTCAAGGATAGAATTCCTTGAGTTACTCTTCAGCATCACCAGTTTCGTTTTCAGCGATGTCCATTCTGTGATGTTTATACTTGAGTGTTTCTTTTCCCTCCAGGTGTTGGGAGGGGCGATGACGGCCTTGCTTTTCATTTCCAGGAATTCTTACTCTCCCGACTCCTTTGTCTCAGGGGCCTGTGTGATGTTTATCCCCTTGCATCCCCCCCGAGCGTGGGATACAGAATTTTTTCCCATATTTCTCTCCTCAATTCCTGCAGCTTAGCCTGCTTCCCAGGGGGTTGCTGATCAGCGAAGTGTTGTTTCTTGACATTGTTTCATTGCTGCAGTCACTGATCAGAGCAGAGCCATCTTTTCATATACCCCCAAATTTGGGGGACTGCAGGTTTTCATAAATGAAGGTCTTCACTTTCCACTCTGGGTATGTATTGGACTCACCTGGGGCATTTCTGAAAAAGAAAAAAAAGAAAAAAAAATATATATATATATATACCATTGCCCAGTTCCCTCCCCGGACCAATTAAATCGGCATTTCTGGAAATAAGGAGGCACTGCTATTTTTTTGTATCTCCCCAAGTGATTCTGGTGTGCAGCCCTGGTCCAGATGGACTATGTCAGTTGCTGGGGAGGGTTCCCTCAACAACCGTGTGGGTCACTGGTTCTCAAAACACAGGGTGGTCAGAATCACCTCGGATGCTCCTTAAAAATACAGCTGCCCTTGGTGGGGGGGGGGGGGTTCTGGGTCTCTGTGGTTTCAGCAAACTTTACAGGCAATTCCGAGGCATAGCACAGTTTGAAAATTCCAGGTGTGGTTTGCAGAGTTCCCCCCAGCAGGCTGTCCTCTGAGCAGTTCTTGTGACCTCCCCTGAGTATATTAATGGGAAGGCACAGATCATCTCCCGAGGTTCCTCTGCAGGTCCCGGCTATGCGGCCCAAGAACAGGCTGAAAGACTGGGTCCTCTCTCAGAGTGGGACTGCTGACTGTGGGTGTGCGTGAGTAGTAGAGCCGCACCTTCCCTTAATGACATCCCTGCAGCCAAGCGCTCTGCTCCCAAGCCCTGATGGGGTTTCTGACAAAGTTCTTCAGTTTCCTCCACACAGTGCTCCCCAGTAAGTCTGCTCTTTCTCCCGCTGAGGGACCTTAGGGGAACCCGGTCACATCTGCAGAAGCCAAGAGAAACAGGCAAAAGCTGGCGTGTCTTTAGAAGTCTCCCTGCTTTGCCGAGGTGCCTTCTCCCCCTGTATTTGCTGTTCCGCTGCAGGTTACGGCAGCACTACCTGGCTTTAGTGCTGTATTAACGCTGTATTAAACCCTTTGTTTCAGAGACCCTCTCTGCCATGGGGAGACCGTGGTCCTCATGTCTGAGTCTCTTCCTCCTGCCCCCTGTCCAATGCCCACTGACAGCTCCTGCCTTCGGTTCTACTGCTCAGAGCCTGGGGTTGTCCCAGGCTTCTGTTGGGGACATCCAGCAACTTTACTCTCAGACTGACCCGCTGAAATCACAAGCAGCTCTCAATCAGTTGTCACCAGTTCAGCTCAGCTGTGTCACCCCTCCCTGGGATTTCTCATAGTTTGTCATCTGCTCATAGAAAGTTTCTTTAACCTTGACATACTGTAGTTTTCTGGTTCGTTTGGTTTTGTTCCCCTGAGCGCCAGACTCCTGCCTGTCCTCTGTTCCTGGACCACTTTCCCAGACCCACACGTGGCTGACTCCTCTTCTCATTCACGTCTCACTCGGCACTGGTGTCCCTTCCTCAGAAAGGTCATCCGTGACCACCTAATCCGTAGTGGCCACCCCGTCCATCCGCTCATTCTGTACCACATCCTTTCCTCCTGGTTCTCTTTCTGAAGCACTTAAAACTATTTCAGCACCTTCACTTAGGCCTGGCACATAGTAGGCATTCAAAAAGTATATGTTGAATGGATGATAGACAGAGTAGTGACTCTTTCTTTGGCCACCTCATTGGTATTGGGGAAAGGAGGGAGAGGTAAGTACATGAACTTGATTCACCATGATAACGCTGGGATTCCCTTTTTCTTTCTTGAAAGTCAACAAAGAAGCACATGATAGTTTGGGGAAATGGTGGTCACCTGACCTGTTGGTTTATTCCAATGTGTCAGCACTTCGACCCCAGGGGGGTGCCACCTGCCCCTACAACCGGTGCTCTGGTCGCCCTTACTGTCCCGTCCACCTTCGAGAAGAATCAGGTTATCAGCTACAAGTAAAAAGGAGGAGAAGCTGTGGACACCTGTTTCTTCTCCCAGGTGGACATTCTCAGCCACTCAAATGCTGGCAGTGACCAGGGACTGTCCCTGGAGGAGCACAGGTGGGCGTCTGTGCCCATGTCCCGCTCCAGCCAAGAGATGGTTCCTGTCCATGGAACAAAGGCCCGCGACGACCAGTATCATAAGCCATTTTTCTTAGTTTAATGCAAGGAATCTATTTTGAGAACCTACTGTGGGCTGTGTCCCGAGCTGGGAGGTCAGTGAATCGAGAGACAAACTCCTGCGGAGACCCGCCTGCCTTTGCCGTGTGCTGTTTGGGCTGCCCAGTGGGAGTCAGGAACTCAGTGAGGTCAGCGGGCACGGAGGACAAATAAGAGCTAGGAAGAGGCATCCAGCCAGCAATTAGGAAACGCTGTCGGGGGAAGGACATGTCGCCCACATCACCGTACACACTCCTTGTTGATTTCCTCTTCCTACTGTGTGAAAAGCACTATGGTGAGTGCAAAGGACATGTGGTCCCTGCCCACGGAGAGCTCACACCGCAGCTGGAGAGACAAGGACACAAACCCTTAAAATGCTAAACAATGATATAAAACTATCCTAAAAAACGTGTCATAAGGAAGCATTTCTGCACAATGGATGGAAATCAAAGGAGCTGTGAGTTCGGGGAGCATGTGTTTGAGTTGGGCCAAGGAAAATTTATTGTGCTAGTCACCTGGGGATGAATGTCTGGAGGGATGTTAATTTTCCAAATCATTTTATAACCACACAGACCATTCAGTAGTAGCAACATGCTCAAATCTGATCTTAAACCTTAAAGGGGATGATGTTTGGAAATACTCAAGTAATGCAGGCAACACACATATAGAGAAGTTTTACCCAAGAATCTTTTAATAGAATAGGTTCCAATGGTCAAATGTACTAAAAAGAAAAAGGAGCAGAGGTAAATAATGGGTATTTGAGGGAACCCACGTATTCTGGGTTGAATGAGGCACAAAAACTCTTGTCCTTCCCAGAACCTCAGAATGGGATATTATTGGAAAATAGAGCTCTTGTAGATGCAATCAACTAAGACGAGGCCATACTGGCATAGGGCAGGCTCCTACTCCAATGTGACTGGAGTCTTTGTATGAGGAGAATATAGAGACACAGACTCCCAGGGACACCATGCGACAGTGGAGACAGAGATTGGAGCGATGCACATGCAAGCCAAGGAGTGCTAGGTATTGCTGGCAGCACCAGAAACTAACAGAAAGCCACAAAACAGATTCTCCCCAGGGGCTTCCAGGGAGAGGTGACCCTGCCAGCACCTTGACTTCAGACTTCCAGCCTCCAGAGCTGTGAGAGAATAATTTTCTTCTCTTTTAAACCACCCTGTTTGTTGGCACTTTGTTGCAGTAACCTTAGGAAACCACCTCACCAGGGCATCCTGTCTCTCCAGACCTTGTTTCTGCTGAAGGCTGCTGTCCTTGCAGATTTCTGGATGTCCCAATCTCTGTCCTAGGCCTCTGATTTTCCATGTAGCATGACAACCCAAGCTTTCTGGCCCACTCCCAAAATTCTGGCCCTTCTCCCACCCCTGCCACCCCTAATGAACCTGGAGGAGTGAATGAGAGCTCTTAGCTTAAGTACCAGAATGTAGTGACACCAATGGTGGGTATGTGTCCAAGAGGCAATCATGACAAACACAGAGAGACTCTCCATACCTGGTGTCTGGGCACAGCCTTTGATCAGGGTGCAGCTGCCACCAACACTGTCCCCGCAGAGCCCTGCCACCTTGGCTAGCAAAGAGCAGGTGGTTGAGCCCATCCCAGGTGACAGCATGACCCTGGAAGCAAGAGATAATATCTCACAGCTCTCTGGGGCTTACATTTGTTGCTGGCCTCAAGCCCAGGGGGATTTCTTTACTAACAGGACGTTTTGTCTCCTGGAACTTTATCCAGTGGGATTGGTTCTGTGACTTGAGTTTGAGAGAATCCACACCCATCATCTTGGTTCATTGTAGAAAGCTCAGCTTGGTGCTTTGGCAGGGATTTTCCAGGGAATTCCCCATTGGTTCACCTGGTGGACTTAGTCTTCTACTGAGACTCCACAGGGCCAAGCTGGAGATGGAGAGTGGTGCACCGGAACTTCCTGAGCCACAGCACGTAACCTCAGACCTAGAATACCCTGCTGCTGCTGGTTACGTCTAACGGTGCAGACACAGGAGGGCTGGCCTTGCGTCATGTACCACCGCAGCTCTGCTTTCACGTGGTAGCCACTAGCCACCTGAGGCGACTTAAATTTAAACTTTAATTCTTTAAAATTAAATATTCCATTTCCTGGTCACACTGCCCACACACCAAGTTCTCAAGAGCTCCCTGTGGCTAGTGGCTACCATGTGGGAGGTCACAGACAAGGACTATTCCTGTCATCACAGAAAGGTCTTTGGGGCAGCACTGGTCTAGAGCTACTTATTTTCCCAAACCTTTCAACACATGTTTTTATTTTTCTTTACTAAGTGTAATTTTTTAATATACTTTATTGATTATGCTATTACAGTTATCCCATTCCCCCCCTTCATTTCCCTCCACCCTGTACACCCCCTCCCACCCACATTCCCTCCCTTTAGTTTATGTCCCTGTGTCATAAGTTCTTTAGCTTCTACATTTCCCATACTATTCTTGCCCTCCCCCTGTCTATTTTCTCCCCACCACCTATGCTACTTATTCTCTGTACCTTCTCCCCCCTTCTCCTCCTCCCACTCCCCTGTTGCTAACCCTCCATGTGATCTCCATTTCTGTGGTTCTATTCCTGTTCTAGCTGTTTGCTTAGTTTGCTTTTGTTTTAGGTGTGGTTGTTAATACCTGTGAGTTTGCTGTCTTTTTACTATTCATATTTTTATCTTCTTTTTCTTAGATAAGTCCCTTTAACATTTCATAGAATAAGGGCTTAGTGATGGTGAACTCCTTGAACTCAACCTTATCTGAGAAGCACTTTATCTGCCCTTCCATTCTAAATGAAAGCTTTGCTGGATACAGCAATCTTGGTTGTAGGTCTTTGGATTTCATGACTTGGAATACTTTCCAGCCCCTTCTTGCCTGTAAGGTCTCTTTTGAGAAATCTGCTGACAGTCTGATGGGAACTCCTTTGTAGGTGACTGTCTCCTTATCTCTTGCTGCTTCTAGGATTGTCTCCTTCATTTTACTCTTGGCTAATGTGATTATGATGTGCCTTGGTGTGTTCCTCCTTGGGTCCAACCTCTTTGGGACTCTCTGAGCTTCCTGGACTTCCTGGAAGTCTATTTCCTTTGCCAAATTGGGGAAGTTCTCCTTTATTATTTGTTCAAATAACTTTTCCACTTGTTGCTCTTCTTCTTCCCCTTCTGGTACCCCTATAATTCAGATGTTGGAATGTTTAAAGATGTTCTGGAGGTTCCTAAGACTCTCCTCACTTTTTTGAATTCTTGTTTCTTCATTCTTTTCTGTTTGATTCTTTCTTCCTTCCTTCTGGTCTACTCCACTGACTTGAGTCCCAGTTTCCTTTTCATCACTATTGGTTCCCTGTGCATTGTCCTTCATTTCACTTAGTGTAGCCTTCATTTGTTCATCTAATTTGTGACCAAAGTCAACCAATTCTGTGAGCATCCTGATCACCAGTGCTTTGAACTGTGCATCTGATAGGTTGGCTATCTCTTTGTCGCTTAGATATATTGGCTCTGGGGCTTTGATCTATTCTTCCATTTCAGCCATTTTTTTTGTCTTGTTGTACCTGTTACATATGAGGGGAAGAGCTTTACGTGTTCACCAGGGTGAGGCAATCCAGTGGCTGGGTTGTGACACTGTATGTGGGGGCGGGGTCAGAGAGGAAACAGTGGTGTTTGTTCCGCCCTATCTCAGATTTCAGTCCCTTCTGCCACTTCCCACAAGCAAACTCGGCTCTTCTGGTGCTGGTTCCCAGGTGGGTGGGTTTGTGTACATTCTAGGACCCTGTGGGTCTCTCCAACAAACTCTCCTGTGAGGCTAGGAGTCTCTCCCGGCACCTCAACCCCCACAAGTGTTTTCAATCAGTGCTTTTAGGCTTTATTTTCTGATGCTGGGGCCCTGGATTGCGCAGTCTGTCTCTCTGCCTGTTTTCATCTGGTTTATCTGCATGTGAATGTGTGACTGTGGTCTGCTGGCCATCTCGCTCACCTCACTGGGTCTGCTCATTGCCACCCCACACCCAGCATCTGCCAGCCACCGCTTTTTCCTGCTGTGACTTCTCTCTGCCAGTCGCCAACTCCGCCCCTCTTATTGGTCTGGATGAATGGTTGTCAGACTTCCGTACAGTTCAATTTTCTGTCTGTTCCGGCTGTTTTTTGTTTCTAAATTTTTGTTGTCCTTAATTTTGGTTGTGCGAGGAGGCACAGTGTGTCTACCTATGCCTCCATCTTGGCTGGAAGTCCACGTACTAAGTATAATTTTCTAAGATAAATGTTGAGACTATGTCAACTTCCTAACACAAGACAATAATTTCATTTACTTAATGTCTGTTAGAAATAATAAAACCTATGTGTCGATTTTTAAAAAGAGGAAAAATAAGTATCGCTACACCAATGCCTCCTAGAGTTTAATGCGCATTGAACTCACCCAGGATCCTATAAAACTGTGTGTGCTGACTCCCCCTGTCCGAGCTGGGGTCCGCTGTTCCCCATGCAGATTCACAGGCCTCTCCTTGCGTGGGGGTGACAACAGCGTGTGACTTGTGAGCTAGGGCCTTATTGCTGCTTGGAGGGTTGGGGGGAATAAGCACAGCAAGTGAAGTGTAGACAGAAAGACAAAAGCTGAAGGAACCATTTGTGTCTTCCAACACCAAAAGAGTGAGACCACAAGCCTCCCCCCACCCCCCACACTGGTCCTCAGAGGGCCACATGGACGCAACATCACCCACAGACTCACAGGCAGGAGCTGCACTCGGTGCTGCGCTGTCTGGACTTGAGTCTTGACTCCCTCACTTTCTGGAGTGTCCTTGGGCAAACTGTCACTAGGCCTCAGTTTCCCTATCTGTCATGGGGATATAGTGCTAGTACATGTTTCACAGAATGGTCGTGAGGACTCTGTGAGCTGACAGATGTGAAATGCCTAGAATCTCATAAACACTGTGCAGGTTCAACCAATAAGCGAACACAACCTTCTGCTTCTAAACATGCAAGTAGGTTTTTTCGTGGATGAATTATTTCCTTTCTGACCAGTGGGAGGTCACTTTGCTCCAAACAAGACCCTGTTTCTCCCCTGTGGATTGAGGAAGGGGTGCGAGGTAAGGGCGACATCTCTGATGAAAGGCCAGATTCACCAGGCATCCTCAGTTATAACAACAACAAAAAAGTAAAAAGTGATGGAGTCCAGTGTTGGGCCTGTAACTGACCAGAATGGTCCAGGGAAACCGAGTCAGGGGGGTGGTTGTGTTTGTGACAGACTAGAGCCGCTGGGCACAGCTGCTGGTGACCCTAACCTAAATGTCTTCCTTAAAGAGACTTTTCGCCATCGGCTGATGTTGGTGTACAGAAGTCTGCATGTAGAGTTTGTACAGGTTTTATGGAATTTATCACTTACATTTGTGAAATTTCCCTTTGGGGTGTGGCAGCAAAATAGATTTGACTTGCTAGAGAGAATATGACACAGGTTCTTGCCTGGTATTGACCCTTTTTTAAACCTTTGTTCTCCCCAAAAAGCAAAGAGCCCAGCCAGCAGCGAGTCAAGAGATGGGGCTTCTCATTTGACGAGATGCTGAAGGACCAGGTGGGGCGGGAGCAGTTTCTACGATTCCTGGAGTCCGAATTCAGCTCAGAAAATCTCAGGTAAATCTCTCAAAAGTCTGAGCTGGGTGCAGGGTATGTACAAAGAGTTTGCATGTCCAGCCTCTCTTTGTGCCTCCCCTTTTCAATCAAATGTTATATTCAAACTCACATTTCAGCTAATCTGACAAAGGTGGAAATGGAGACAAACAAACCTTACGTACAGCTTTGCGATCACCCTATTAGCACTTACCAACACCAGCATTTATTGTTCTTTAAGCCCCGATGGCATTTCTTCAAGCTACTGGGGGCATGTCTACAACAGCAAGTAAATAGTTGAGTGGACTTGGTGACTCCACCCTTTAACCAAAACCATGAACCAGGGGGTTTGAGCCCGAAAGACAGGTCAGGTGCCCTCTCCTTCACAACCTCCAGAGTCCGGGGCCCTGAATATCCGGCCAACCAGAAGAAAACGGGGTGTGTGGCCTTGTTTCAGGATTTCAAAAAGCAAGAATAAACACCACACAACAACTGCAGACGTAACTGTAAAAGCCAATAAAATGTGCTTTTCTTTGGGGGTGGAATTCTGTCAGCTCTCATGGTGGTTATTCTGGTTGCCTGATGCCAGTGAAACTGTGTTTATTGGTCTATGACTCATCAGATAAGGGAAAATGTATTCATGTATTAATAATTACTGTTTGGTAGAAAAAATAAAGCTCTCAAAACATGAGGTCCGTGGACAGAGGAAGGAAAGGGGGTGCATTAACAAGAAAAGGGCCCGTGGTTGTGAAGAATTGGAAACTTGTAGTTTACTCAGGCTTTCGTAGTACTCGGTGTGGAATGGAGACCTGTGGGATATGTAACTGAAAAGACCCTTTAGGGATGGTCTTAGCCAACTGGTGACTCCTCAGCGGGGAAGTTGGGATTCTCTGGATTTTTTCTTGGGACCACATTTTCTTTTATATGCAGGTTAATTCTTATCTTCCAATGATTTTTTTTTTCAAAAAGTGTCTCTGTGAACTTTTTAAAAAAGATTTTATTTATTTATTTTTAGACAGAGGGGAAGAGAGGAAGAGAAACATTAACGTGCAGTTTCCTCTTGTGTGCCCCCTACTTTGGAACCTGGCCTGTAACCCAGGCATGTGACCTGACTGGGGAAGGAACTGGTGACCCCTTGGTTTGCAGGCCAGCACTCAATCTACTGAGCCACCCCAGCCAGGGCATTTTTGAACTTTTATACGTCAGGGCACATAGTGTGGGCAAGAAACTGCCCCACTCCAGTATTAATGTGCAAAGTCCCTGTTATTTATTCGGTGTGAGAGACCATATCCATCCCTCACATCGGTCAAGTGATGCGTATTACACACCTGCGCCACACCGAGCCCCGCGATGGTTTGCTGAGGGATGCAAGGAAATCGAAATGGGTGATCTTCACCTGCAACAACCTTGTAGGCCCTTGAGGAAAAAACACAAGAAACTATTAAACCATTACATGAATCTAAACAAGTAAAAACTCTTAAGAATCATCTTAGAAGTGTTCTTAAAAGGGAGGGAGGACTGTAAGAGTAGAAGAATATGCAGGTTACTTACCAATAGATGAAAAAGGGAGAGGATGCATTCAGAGCTGGATGACCCTGTGGGCCAAGAAGTCTCGGGAGAACACGTAGATGCCAGTTAACTGATGTCTTGATACCCTTGTAGGAAGCTGAGTGCCTATGCAGACCAGATAAGGCCGAGTATCGGATTTTAGGTCCTGGCATGAGAGTTCTTTCCTTGTGCTGAAGCATTATGCTAAACACAGGTCAGAGCTTTGCTTCCATTCTTAATCAGGTATCTGTGACGGAAGGCTTGACTTCAGCAGGGTGGTGCTCAGACCAGCCTCGCAGGCTGTGCTGGATGTGGGTCCTGCTGGGGAAGCCGTGCCCTCTGAGGCCAGCATGAGGCATCAGGCAGCCTCTCTGTGTGGCCACTTCAGCCCCAGGGCCCAAGCCAGCTTGGTCCCCGTGATCCTCACAGATCCTGCTCCTGGCTCAGCATGCTTTGCCCACTCTGAGTGTAGCCACACTCACACGAGGGCTCAGACCAGTTTTATACAATGCACATTACATTTACAGCCCGAGCCCACACAGGAAAGTGTCCCTGCAGGGGTTCAGCGCCCGAGCCTGCCATCACCTCTGGGCCTCTGCCCGCACTTCCTCCCATGCCAGCAGGACCATCCTCAGTCTGAGGTGGAAGAGTGCGTGTGAGCACATGCGAGTGTGCCACTGACCAAGCTACACATGAGTGCCTACATCCAGACTTAAGGAGGGTCCCCTCTGATCCATGTCAGAAGAGAGGATAAAGAAAATATAGGACAGCCAGAAACGTACGGGACAGCCCAGGAGCTTCCCAAGCCCTCTCTGGAGGTCCGAATCCCACTTGGGTGACGTTCAGCACAACTGGATACATGGGGGAAAGGCTCAGTTTTCGACCTTTTAGATCGCACAGCTTCAGGGCCCTTCAGTCACTCCTAACCAGATAGGTCCTCCCCCCTCCTTCCGTTATTCATTCCTTCAGCTGCAGACGTGGGCTCAGTGCCTGCAGTGACCCCGGCCAGAGGACTGAGAGCTTACCACGTTTTTGCCCCTCATCCAGGTGCCCCTCACTGCAGTCCACGTACCTGGGGGCCCCTGGAGCTGTGCCATGCAGCATGGCTCAGGGATCCTGCCTGTCCATGGTGCTGGCCATGCCGGGGTCATGTCTTCTCCCCAGGCTTGGTCAAGATCCCAAGCCACGGGCACTGGAGCATGGAAGGAAAAGAGAAAGCAAGACTGACCAGAACTCAGCTGGATGCAGGGTAAAGGGCCTCCGCGTGTTGGTCTCCCTGAGCTCCCTTGCATCTCCCCAGTAACAGGGAACTGAGATCGTTATATCTTTGCACCGCACCTGGAGTGCCCACTGAGTGGCCAAATGGTTGAATTTGTGTCAGAGCTTCAGAATGCAGAACAGAGGCGCTCCAAAGAGACACAAGAATCGCTGTCACAGCAGCAAAGGGTCACCCAGGCTCCTTTAAGGAAAGATGTCTGTGGTAATACGATGTACGTTGAAGTCCCCTCTGGTCACTTCTAGGGGAGTGAGCCTGTGAGCCGAGGGAGAGGCGTCATTTCCAGGGTCCGTGGGGGGACGGCCAGCGCATTTTGCTGCAGATGTGACAGCACGTTCTCCGTAGCACCTAAGGCTGAGCCCAGGGTCCATTTGGACTGAGTGGCCCCCTGAGACAACTGTGTACTCGGGGCCTCTCCTCCCCAAGGTGGGGTCTCCGGGTCCTGAAGCAGGGACTTCGGTGAGTTGTCTGACGCCGCTCTTCTCCCTTCTCTGCACATTTTCTCAGAATGACGAGAGGAGCCCCCTGCCATCTTTGCCCTTCTCCATCTCTCCTGCACAGATCTTTGTCCTCCCCGGCTCGACAGCTTCTGCCACACAGCAGGGCATGAGTTAAAAACCAAAACCCGCAGCTACGAGCATCCCCCGTACATTTTTTATGAGCTGTACCGCCTCCAGAGGGAGCAGGGTTGTTCTTCTAACCTGCAGATTGATTATCCCGGTTCCACAGAGTGTCGGCTGAGGGGAGAAGCAATTAAACACAGCGCAGGGGAGTTGCCAGGTTTGCGTGGAGAGCCACCCCTCTCTGACGGTGGCCCCAAGTCCTGGAAAGACCTGGAAAGGCTCACCAGGCCTGGTGGGATTCACCACTAACCAAACACGTGATTAATTGGGACAAAGGTGCCTCATGCAACACTGTGACAATCTGTGGCGTTTTGGCTGCAGCCTGTGGCCCGTAACTTGGCTTCCATAGTGTGGTGCTGGCAGCCTCACAGATGGGCCCAGACAAACAGAGCCTAAGTTGGATCCCTTGTTCCTGAGTCTCTGTTGGCCAGCAGAGGGCACAGAAAGCCTTCCTTTTGCATGGAGTTTGCTATTTCTCTGCAAACAAACTAAAACCTGGATTTTTTTAACCCATGAAAATTATAGTTTATGAAAAGCTGTGTGAGCTAGGAACGGAGGGGCTGCCCAGACCTCCTGGCAGGCTTGGGAACAGTTTCCCTTGGTCCAGCCAGTCATGAGCTCATCGGCATCGCGATCTTCAGGGAGCCAGCAAGTCCAGTCTGTGGCTGCTCAGCCTGGTGGTGTGGAGCCCAGGCTCCCTCCCGCAACGCCCGCTGTCCAGCCTGCATTCCTGAGCCATGGGCACCGGTCACATGTGGGCATACGGGCCGCCTGCCTGCACTCTGATGAGTCGGGCCAGGCAGGACAGGTGGTCTCCCTGATACCAGGGAGCCCGTGTGGACTGCCTGTCACAGCAGCCCTTCTGCTGCCCACCACAGAGGCTTAGTGCAGGATGGCTGGGTTTGCCACCGCCGCCTGCAGCCCCCTCCCTGCTGGCGTCCTCCCGGAGCAGGGAGACCTGCAGGCTGATGATAAGGACAGAAGCTGCACAAGCCCCTGTGGGCCTCCCAGCCATTGGTAAATGTGCGGAGGCGAGCTTCCAGGGCTCCTTGCGGGAGGGTGTGACCTGGCGGCCGGGCTCAGAGCCGCAGGGCCCCAGCTCGAGCCTGTGGGCTTGCAGGCAGCAAACACAGCCAACGCCTGCTCTGAATCTCAAACGGCCCAAAGCTTTCTCAAAGCCAGTGATGGTAAACACATGTAGGATGTCAGAATGCTGTTGTGATGGCATTTTTGCTGTCACCTGAGAGGGATGACACAGGTCATCCAAGGGACACAGAAGGCCGAGAGGGTCTCCACACAGAGAGAGAAAACCACTGCCAGGGAATGTCATCCCTCTCCTTCCCTTCCCCCCCCTTCCTCTTCTTCCTCCTCTGCTTCCTCCTGTCCTCTTCTTCCGCCTCCCTATTGCGCACGCCCATTGTTTCACCGAACCTGAGCATGTCAGACTTACAGCTGGATGGGAAGTTCTTCAAAAGCACGTTGGACATCTCTCCATCTGCTCTGCATCCGTTTTACAGGAAAGAGACTCCCAGAAAGATACAATCCCAAGACAGCGGCATAGCCATGATGGGGACAGAACTGGGCTTCCTCATCTCTCGCAGCTCAGTGAAGTTATTCAGTCTCCTCTGCCTTAAACTCATGCTCTTCAAAGTCACCAAGGGAACCATGACGGTTTCTTCAGGGAGGTTATTAGAATCCCAAATGGCACACCTGGGAGAGTTGGAGCCCACTGTTCACACCCGCACACACACACGTGCACCTGTTTTCTGCCTCTGTGGAAATGAAGCTGCATTACCTCGGTTGGCCACTAAGTGGTGCCTTTGGGCCACACACTTGGCTTCAAAGACAGGTCTCTGAACAGCAACAGAAAAACATGCTTAACCTTTTAAAAAACAACAAGTACATCTTACTTTGGGTGAAATTCAATGACAGATTGAAAGCACTTTCCACCATGTTGTGTTTCAGGTTCTCTTGTCCCTGCCCTTTTGTAGACTTGACTATGCGTGAATCCCATGGCTGCGGGGCCTGTCTCACTGATGGGGAAACTGGCCTGTCCTGTTCATCAGGCACGAAGTGCGCCGCCCACACCTGGGCCCTGCCCAAAGCCCTCCCCACAGTGGCCTCAGACGCAGTCCTCAGGACCTGAGGAGCCCTTGTCTGAGCTTTGGCTCTGGTCGCTGCTGCTCCAGCAGGAAAAGGCTCACGCCCAGCTCCCTAAAGGCTGCTGCAGAGAGAGGCAGAGGGATCTGACAGGCAGAAGTGGACGTGAATGGGAGGGTTTTCTCTCTAGCGCTTCTGGGGAGTCTTTTGGCAGAGGTTCCCTGTGGATGCCCCTTCAGCTGTATCGCAGATGAGCTCATCCTCGATCCACAGCCATTTACTGAGTGCCAACCACAAACAAACACCACGCTGGACCCTGGTGTTGAGAATCGACTCATCTGCAACATGAACAGCTAGGTCCTTCCAGCTCAGGTGTTCTTTGTGATTCCAGGATTCTCTCTGTTCCTGTGATCTTTCTTTCATTTTGATGCCTCACACTGATCCCAACCGCATATGACAAAGGAACTCACTTTCATCTGTGTCCTGACATCCCTGTACAGCAGTGGTCCTCAGCCAGGGCTGCGCTTACCTCCCAGGGGACATTTGGCAATGTCTGAAAACATTTGGGGTTGTCACTACTTGGAGAGGGGTTGCCACTGGCCTCTGGTGGGTAGAGGCCAAGGTTGCTGCTACACATCCTACAATGCACAGGGCAGGCCCCACAATAAAAACTTACCCAGCCCAAATGGCGATCGTGCTGTGGCTGGAAGACCTTCATCTAGAAGGAGAGAGATCTCTTCTTGGTAATCAGAAGCACAGTGATCTTCTAATGTACACTACCCGTAGGTTCTCCGACAGAGCAGAGCACCGCTTGTGTTTTCGGCAGTCCCTGCGGTCTTTGTCGCCTGAGTAGACGCAGCAGGGAAGACTGGAGGATGCAGCAGAATGGGTCTCGTGGGAGGCCACTTCTGGGACCATGTCCAGCAGAGTCCAGATGCTGAGTCCCCCGAAACTGACTGTCTTTATACTTCCACTCAGGTTCTGGTTGGCTGTTCAAGATCTCAAGAAACAACCCCTACAGGATGTGGCCAAGAGGGTGGAAGAAATCTGGCAAGAGTTCCTGTCTCCAGGGGCCCCAAGTGCAATCAACCTGGATTCTCATAGCTACGAGATCACCAGTCAAAACATCAAAGATGGAGGGAGATACACATTCGAAGATGCCCAGGTTTGCATAACTACTCGAACAGTTCTATCAAAACGTGTTCATTTGTCCACCCTACCACCCCGCCCTTTAACACAAGTTCAGGGCCTTGCGTATAGTTAAAATTCCAGGTTTTATTATTTGTAAGGCCATCAGTGGAAACCATTCCAGGTAGGTGCATGATGAAATTCCAGGAGTATTGTTTTCCTAGACTAGTTATGTTATTACATAGAAGAGAACAGACATATGCATTATCTTTCCCAGGAAAACCTCAGTGTCTTACAAACTCGGGAGTCCCACGGTAAGTCAGTAGTAGAATCCATAACATGACATCGTCTAAATGGGTGCAGAGCTGACAGGGCCATGGGTCAAGTCCACATCTAACCGTAAAGCCCACCCTCAGATCCACCACCCTACACTGAGTCTGCAGTGGTTTCCAACTAGAGTAATCCCCCTTATCCACAAGACCCCCCAAGGGATGTCTGAAACCACAGATAGTAACAACCCCTATATATACTGTGTCTTTTTCTGTATACAAATACCTATGATAAAGTTCAACTTATAAACGAGGCACAGTAAGAGGTCAACAGCAATAGCTAATAATAAAACAGGACAATTCTAACAATATACTATACTAAAAGTTGTGAGAATGTGCGCTCCCGCTCTCTCTCTCTCTCTCTCTCTCTCTCTTCCTCTCTCCAGCAAATTTTATGTTTCTCAGTCCAATCTATTACTGAATCTGTGTGACCATCCCTTGCTTGCAGCAAACGGCTTGGTATCACTTGTACAATAGAGGGTTCCTTGCAGAAGTCTTTGCATTGGCTCAGCACGGTGCCAAGGTCTGGTACACATCTTCTGTTGGTGCTCCGCCCACAGACTGAATACCTTCTCCATCTTAACTAAGCACTTGCCACACACTCTGTGGCCGTATCTTCCACAACTTGAGGTGCAACAGCCAAACAAGCACAAATTTCTGTTTTCTTTTTCACAATTTTATGATAGAAGATTCCTTCTTATGGAAGATCTTAGCAACCTCAGCATAACAACCTTTTTCCTTTGCTTCTAAGGCGAGAATTTTCACCCCTTCATTTAAAGGAAGCACTTTGCAGCTTCTCTTTGGCATGTCCAAATCTCCAGCATCGCTACTCTTTCACTTTAGGGCCATTATTAAGTAAAACAAGGGTGACTTGAACACAGGCAAGCACTGCAGTGCCAGGACAGCCGATCGGATAACGGACACCGCTACTGAGTGACTCCCCCCAGGCAGGGAGCATCTACCACATGGAGATGAGGGACAAAGGGATGACTCATGTCCCAGGTGGCATGGAGGCAGACCGAGCAAGATCTCATCACGCGGCTGAGGACAGTGACACTGTAACACCTATGAGCTGTTTATTTCTGGAATTTCCCATTTAACATTTTCGGACCACGGCTCACCACGGGTAACAAAACCTCAGAAAGTAAAACCGCAGAGAAGAGGGGGACTGCTGTAATGTCCGTGGGAGGGCAAACTGTTCAAGTTCTCTGCCAGATTCTGCAGCTGAGAGAATTCAAGAGAGCTGAGGAGATAAGAGCAAAACCTTAAGCCCTGCCCCTGGCTGCAGGGGGTGGGAGGAAATCAAAGTTGGAGACCGGGAAGTAAGAGGCCGACTCGATGCTTAATGTTCGAAGTGGCACCTCCTGGCCCTCACTTGTATGTTACGGTGAATCATGTGGCTTCTGTTTATCTCACCAGCCTCACTGGCATCTGTGCCCTATTTGTGCCCCTCCTGTGGGCTTCCTTAAGCCCCAGAGCTCTCCCCTTTGAGGCACTTCCTCCATTGGCGAAATTGCCCATTTCCTTGTTGTTTTCCCCCACTGGGCTGTGATCTCCTTGAGGGAAGGGCTTTTGCCTTTCTCCTAGTATCTGATCACATTGCACAAGGCCTGGAATATCAAGGTGCTCGCCAAATGGCAGCCGCATGTGGTGTCCCCCTTATCTTCAGTTCCACTCTCCACAGTGTCAGTTCCCCTCGGTCAGCTGCAGTCTGAAAATATTCAATGGGAAATTTCAAAAATGGACAATTTATAAGCTTTTTAAGAGACTTTATTTATCTATTTTTAGAGAGAGGAAAAGGAGGAAGAAAGAGACATTGCCTCTCGCACATCCCCCACTGGGCACCTGGCCCAAGCAACCCAGGCATGTGTACTCTGCAGGGCTTGAACTGGCGATCTTTCTGTTTGTGGGACAGTGCCCAGCCCACTGAACCACACCAGCAGGGCAACAATTCCTGAGTTTTAAACTGTGCACTGTTCTAAGAAGCACGATGAAATCTCATGCCATCCCATCCCCCTCCCCAACCTGGGACATGATTCATCCCTTTGTTCGGTGTATCCGTGCTACACGCACTCCCCGTTCATTAGTCACTGAGTAGGTGCCCTCAGTTATCAGACTGACTGTCACGGTATCACAGTGCTTTTGTTCGAGTCACCCTTATTTTACTTAATAATGGCCCCAAAGTGCAAGGGTTGTGATGTTGGCAATTCAGCTATGCCAACGAGAAGCCACAAGGTGACTCCTGTAAGGAAAAAGGTAAAAATTCTACACTTAATAAAGGACGAAAAAACATAGTGTGCTAAGGTTGCTAAGATCTACAGTAAGAATGAATCTTCTATCCGTGAAATTGCGGAGAAGGGACAAGAAATTCACGCTCATTTTTTGGTTGCATCTCAAGCTGTAAAAGTTACAGTCACCGTGCATGATGAGTACTTAGTTAAGATGGAAGAGGCATCACATTTGTAAGTGGGGCATGAACAGAAAATATGTCCCAACTGATGGCAACCTGTTGCTCCAGGAAGCATGAGTCTATACAAAGACTTCAGAAAGAGGTCCCCCGAAATGAGTGGCACCAAGCTATTTGCAGCAAGTAAGAGATGCTCACACAAATTCAGAAATAGGTTTGGGCTGAAAAATATAAAAACTACTGGAGAAGCTGCTGCCATATTTTCAACAGAGCTGGAGAAGTTGACTAGGGTTTGTTCTTTACGTGGTTGCAGACATCTGCTAGGGGTCTTGGAACATATACCTCCCCACCCCCATGGCTATGGGCAAGGGGACTACTGTGTTATCTAATTGAGGAAACTCAGAGGCACCAATGCAAATAATGGCATGAAAACACAACCAGTGTCCCTTGTCATCTAGATTGGCCTTGTCATTTGCTTAGAACTTCAGGATGGACACACCCACTAACCTCAACACTCTGAACTATCTTTCCTTTCACCCTGGTCAGGAACTCCACCAAATGCCTGTACAAGGAAGATTTTAAAGCTCTGTGGAGTTCGATGTCTTACACCAGCCCCTCATACCCTTTTCGGCTTCAAAGCCAAATATTTATGATGAGAAATCGTTTTTTGCTGACAGATTTTTGTATGTGTATGTGAATATGCTCCCGAGCACATGTCCTGAAGGAGAAGCGTGGAGAAGCTCCGTAGGTGAAAGGCCTAAAGCAGGAAACTCAACTCTCCATCATTCCTGAAACAGTAGGAAAGGGATCCTGATCAGAACTGTGATACACTAAGCCTGGCGTGAGCTCTCTGAGCATGACATTGGGGAGGATTTATTTTAATGTTTTGTTACGACATGTGTAAATGTCAGGAATGGAAAGAGCAGAGCAACAAGTCCTCACGGACCCTCTCTCAGCCTCAGCCGTCATCAGTACAACGCTGGTCTCTTTCTCTTTGTGCGCCTCTTGCTTTTGCACCTACCACTGGGTTAAGTAAATTTAAATATATATATATATATAAGCTTTAAATATATATATAAGTAAATTTAAATATATATATATATATAAGCTTAAATATATATATTTTTTTACATATAAATAGATTTTTATATATTTGCTTATATATCTATAATATGTATTTTCAGATATGCAAACTGAGACATTAGATAATTTTATCTGTAAATAGGTATGTATCTCAAAAAGAAACTGACCATTTTGTTGTGTTACCATAATACCAAGATCATATCTTAACACATTAGCAATAATCTCTTAATATCATTGGAAGTCAGGCAAGTGTTTAAATTTCTAATCGTTCCATAAATGCCTGTGTTTAACCCTTACTTAAACTCAGAATTCAGATAAGGGCCCTGCGTTCCAGTAGATTGACATCTCTTGTAAGCGCTTCTTAATCTACAGGTGTCTTTTACATCCCCCTCCTTCTCTCCCTGCCTCCTCGCAATGTATTTGATGAAGGAATTGGATTCTTTGTGCTGTAGGGATTCCCACAGTCCGGATTTTCTTGAGCGTAGCCCCATCGTGCTATTTAACATGTTCTTCTACCATCTGTATTTCCTATAAATTAGTGGTTTGATTTAGATATTTAATCATATTTACTTTTGATTTTTGTGGGCAACACTACCTCTGAGATTGGATTGTGCTATTTCTCGAGGAGATCACAGTGCCTAGTGGTCTCTATTTTTGTGGTATTAGCAGCCACTGGTGTTTATCGCTTACATCCACTAGTTAATTAGGAGTTGTAAAATGGTGGTATGCTACTCCTATCTTTCTTCTTTTATTAGCTGAGATATAAATAATCGAATACCTCTATCATTTGGTTACCTAGTAATATAGGAAAAATAGGACAAATGTTTCATTCTTTCCCTTTATTTGCCAGTTTCCAAAATAATCACTGTCCAATGGTGGCCAATTAGGAGTTTTTGTTGTATTTTTAGTATCTTTTGAAACTCCTAGATTTCAACACAGTTGATGTGTTTTAACCCATTTTGTTTATTGTATTTATTGATGGTTGAGTTCTGCCATCTCGGGCCAGTTGGTAACTTCTCACATGACCCTAAAGTCTGATGTCATCCAAATGATGAGGAAGAAAAGAGATTCCAGGCTCTGCCCCAGACCTGGAAGCAGCCATTTCTCCAAGGATTCTTCGTTTCTCTGAGAGGGAAATGGTTTTTAGAGACCATAATCTGGGCGCTTGGGGATACTCTTTGTTTCTGAGTTGGTCATCACTTCTGGGCCCCTTTAGCA